ATGGTGATGACTCAACATTGACCGATGCTGAATGCTGAGGGGACGATCGCTACTGGGATCGTGACTGCCTCGCTTGATAACTTGAACTTCTTTATTGACGAAAGTTGTGTCTCCCCAACACTAGCAATTGAAGGGACGACCACTGCAGGTCGCGATTGTCTTCAATGCCATGACTTTAATCGATGTTGGTGAAGATTTTCCTCTCTAAGTGACCTTGACCGGCCATAATGACAACTTGACTCCAACTGTGGACAGAGTATGAATTCCACGGCACACCTCGTGGGCCTGTAAACCTCGGAAGTATCCTGAACTGTGTGTTGATGGCTAGGACGCTACCACGCTAGTCACAATAAACAAGCTGGACAAAGCACTTGGGACTACGTGCCAATAATGGAACCAATGAACGAATGGGTCACCAAAACCAAATAAACTTTACGCTGCCAAATTTGTCTCCCAAAGCTGATCCTTTTGCGAACACCACTACAATCACAAAAAGATTAACCTGGAAGCCTTACCAACGATGGATTGCCTGCCGGGGGACGCTAGAATATTTTCTCCTCGACAGGTGACGAGCAACGTCGCTGAGATGAAGAGGCATAACCGGGCAGAGGACGGCCAGGGACATTGATGTTGCCCGGGCTGCTGTTATCGACGATGATGACGCGGACTGCGAGGGGATCTATTTGATGAAGATGACCCGGCCGCAAGCCCGAGACGACAACAAGGCTTCTCGAAAGGTAGACGGAAGGTTGATGATACAAGCTGAAATCAAACTTTGACTTTCGGGGACTAAGACGATGGAGCGACAGCTGCCTGACGACGGCTGCAGATGAAGTTGGAAACGCCGACAACAGGTTGACTACCGACGGTGGCTACTATAAAAGTAGCTATAGAGAGCGCCGGACCAGAGATTTTCCCGGGGGATGGACTAACGGCGGGCTGGACTTCGCCTATGACTGCGGAAGAATTGACGGTGACGCCATCTTTGCCGGATTTTGACGGACTCGGCGGCATATATGAGACACGAGCATCGCTGATGTGAGGCTCGAAAACAAGCCTCGATTGTGGGCCATGACGGAGACTGAAAACAACTAACTTCGCCGCTTCCGTTCTTGCATACCGCTGAACGATTGCAAAGACGAGAGACGTCGGACTGACGATGTCGATGTTGCCGATGAGGCAACTGCGGAAGCTCAAAACCCTAGACAAGGGATCGAGTTTTGCTCTGATACCATGTATAATTTGATGATGCGGAATTGAAACGAACACAGAAGACAACGATTTTACGTGGTATCCTCGATCGATTGATTGATCGAGACTAATCCACGATGAGCTCGGAACGAGCTCACGACTGACGTTTTATTATGTGAGGACTACATTGTGACGGCTTGCTTACGACAATCTACGTAGCTAAGCTTATATAAACGTAGGGTTAAAACCCTAATGACAACCAAGTTTCCTTCTTTAACAAGGAAAAGGAAACAAGAGACTTGAAGAACAAGGAATTGGAGTTCCCCTTGTCAAAGAGTGCCAACCTACCTTAGCTTGCTTTGGACAAAGATACTCCCATACAGTTTGAATCTCAAAGACAGACATATGACTCCCATTCCATACTACTTCCCCTCCACATTTACTAAATTGAGATTGCTTGAGACTCCGCAGCTTCAATACTTTTAACCAATTCCACGACATTGCTTTTCCATAATAGCTCCACAGATCAGTCTCTTTGAGCTTATACATGCATATCCAAACAACCCATAACGACTCTTGCTGCATTCAAAATTCCAAAATATGTCAAACAACACAAGTCAGCTTCCACATTTTCATATCACGCAGTCCCAATCCCCCTTCCTTCTTAAGATAAGTGCTTTTCTCAAGCAACCACAACTTTCATCCTTTTCCCATATTGCACCCCCAAAGGAAGTCAGTACTCAGTACAGAGTTACAGAGTTTCTCAATAGCTCTAGTCAGTGCCAGCGGCGGATCCAGGACATAGTAGAGCACTTGGCTGCATTTCATTAGAAAACTAGATAACGCAAAAAATTATAATTTTTTTTATAATATCAATTGTACACGTCTATCTTTTAATATAGTGAATTCATCAATAAAGGAGTCTACATCCATACTAATCGCATACTACTCTTTCTCAAATAAAATAGTTAACCAATCGACGAGAAATTCATTGCTCATTTTGTTGCGCAAATCATTTTTCACCTGTTCCATTGTTGAAAAGGTTCTCTCCATAGTAGCTGTTGAAACGTACAATGTCAACACTAGACAAATCAATCGACTAATCAATTTGTATTGTGTATCCATCCCTATTTTCACCACCTGCTCTAGTGATTTTTCAAGTAAACAAATCTCATATTTCTTTTAGCTTTTTACGTTTTAGACTTTTAGAATTTTAGATTTCATTGTTTGTTTTCTTTAGACGAGACTCATTTGAGCTAAAATTTCTAGACCAAATTTAGAGTTATGATTTGAATATGTTCATATTACTATTTTCCTAATTACACACAATTGTATTATAAAATAACACTAGGCCGAATGACTAAAATTGATAAACGCATGTTGTCTTTTATAGACTTTTGAACCTGGATATAAATGAGCACTAGCGGAAGCAAACCCAATATGAAATCGAACAAGAAAATAGAGAAGAGAATGAACAAAGGCAAGACACCAATTTTACGTGGAAAACCCTCCAAAGAGGAGGGAGAAAAACCACAGGCTGGACAAGCCAGTAAATCCACTATGATCAAGGAATAATCTTCAACATACAAAGTTATGGAGTAAGTAGAAAACTCCCAACATAAAAGAAAAGTACTCAAGAAGATATTCTACACTTTAGGAGAATAAAGGAGTTGGAAGAAATTGGTGTGTCTATTCAACAACAATAGACTTCCTATTTATAGCCATGTAAAATGGCTTATGAGATGCCAAAGAAAAAATGAACGACACTCCCATTAACAAAATGGAAACTGCACACAATTAACTCCATGTGGTCATTAACTTTCATAACCCCAAGTAACCTCAAGTGTCTTCCATAACTACAAGTCTTGGAATTAATTTGAGGCATCAATACCAACAACGCAAAAGAGCTATACTAGTTCCGAATCCAGAAGAGAGCTGGGTCGTGACCCGGGTGGCCACCCCTGGATCCGCCAGTGGTCAGTGCTCGAGGAAGAACAAATACTGCCATCCAATACTGTGAAACATCTACACATACATATAAGCGTATGTCAATATTTCCGGTTTGCCACCTCACCCTTTCCTCGCCAAAGCGCATAAACCGGAGGGGCGGATGGGTACTTTTACATGTTTTTTCCCCAAAATAACTGGCACACTGCGTTTTGGCCCATCTCTTGATTTTCATCACTTCCTTTTCTACTTTTGGAATTTTCTTTTCTATTTTGTACACGCAAAAACATGTGTGTTATGTTACCTTAATTGTACATGTCATTTGGATTTAGAATGGAAACGGGGGTGGGTGTCTCTATATATCTGCCCAGAGACAATATAGTTAAATTATTTGAAATATTCAATTTTTTCATTAAAATGAAGAAAAAACTAAAATATGATTAATATAGTTAAATTATTTGAAAATTTGAGGTTCTTGCATATTTACAACTTCATTTTAGCAAAAATATGAGGTAATAAAAGTAAATTATAAGTAATTTAACTAAAATTACATATAATTTAGGAAAATACGGGTCGAAAATGGGGCGGGTCAGGACAGGTCAGGTCGAGAAAAGTACTCAGGCCTGCCCCAACCCGCCTACGAGTTGGGTCAAACGGGTCGGGTAGAACGGGTCAGTCAAAATTGACATCTCTAATGTGGGACGGGTTGTCGACTTATTGATGTGAGCTATTTTGACCATACTAACTAAAAAATGATTTGGAATGTATATGAAAAAATATATGTGTTTTAACGGTTATTTGTTACAATTAAATTAGATAAGCATACAATATTTAATCATTACGTATGCTAATTATATTTTACGTAATACGACCTTTGAAATTTAATAAAATAAAAAAATTATCTTACTTCATAACCTTGGTAGGAATTCCCTATAATTTTATCACATTTGATTAATATTTACTATTAATAAAAAATAATATTTAGTAGTGGCACTAAATAAGAAGTGCATCACCGCCTAAATCAAAGTATTGTTGATTATACATATACAATTTTCACACATTCAATACGAGTTGCATCGGCTCCTACTTATTTAAACTACTCATATGGTGCATGGATATTAATGAGTTCGCCAAAATAATCACGAATAAAGACTAATAACATTAATAATTATTCATGTTGTTATAGCTATAATGCAATAAAGACAAAGAATATTCATGGGTGCATGAAAGTCCACATCCTTATGTTCTTTTAAAAATTCTAAAATTATATTGCGGTAAATCTAAAAACTAAAATTAAAATTAAAAAATAATTTTCAGCCAATCTAAGATTTGACTCTACATATTAACATTAAATTGTCATGCTATAATAATTTTGTCATAACTTCAATGAAAAAATGGTATTGAGTGGTAACTGAAGAAGTTCCCAGTTGAAAATTAAAACATTAATTCTCAAAATGAAAACAAAAACCTACCCGGCCAATCGGCCGGGCCACAATCTAGTTATAAATAAAGTGCAGATTGGATCAACACAAGTCTCCGAGCATAATTCAGACTTTTTGCTTGCCAGCTCTGTATTTTATGTGTTACTTTGTTTATTAATGGTTTGCAAGCCGGATTCAGTTTTCCGATTAAGAATCGAATCGGACAAGGACAATTTTATAGCCTTCTTCTAGAACTGGAAACCAAATTAGATTGCGGTGGAAAGGTCACAGACTCACAGTTTTGACCGGGTTATACAGTCTGATTTCCGGTCAAAGAACGGCAAGACGCCCACTGCGCATAATTGATGGGCCAAAAGCCCAAAATGGGCATAAATCAATCATTTCGATTTTTTGGATATTCTTTTTCTTTCGCGCCGGACGACCGACGCGACGACTTTTTTGACCAACCCATTCTCTCTCCTATTCTCCGATTCCTCTCTGCGCCTTCTTCAACTACTTCTTCTTCTTCTTCTTCTTCTTCTTCTTCATTTCATTCGTTTCTGTTCTTTCATCTGTCGCTCTCTGTAAGTTATCTCTTCTTGCTTCCGATGGGAGGCCGTAGTTCCAAGAACGGCAAGGCGCCGCGGGTTCTCAATTCCAACGGTCATCTTCCGCAGAACGGCCGTCATCGCTACAACAGCAACGACCAGCGTATCCGCGCCGGAGGAGACAGCGGCGCCGGAGAATTAGACCACGGGAGTAAATCGAAGCAGAATGAGCTGGGAGGGAAGCCACAGCGGAGCGAGGAACTCCAGAAGCAGTCGTTTCCATATTCCAGTCCTGCTAATAATTCAACGGATGAATTTTACGACGGTATTCCGCTTTACTCTTCTTCGCGGTCGAAATCCACTGGGTCTAGGCAAGGAGCTGTTTCCAAGGTCAGTATTCCTCAGTTTCAGTAAGTTTCATATTTCCCTCAATTTGACTTGCTGCAAAAGGAATGAGATGATGCATCGATTGGAGATGAGAATTAGCGAAGCCTGATAGGAGCGAATCGATTGACGTCTTTGAGGCGGTTGGGAGTTTGTAGGTTTCAGAGGTCAGTTCACGACTGGGCAGAGTTGGTTCAGTTGGGCTAGGAAAAGCAGTGGAGGTATTGGACACTCTTGGGAGTAGCATGACGAATTTGAACCCTAAAGGCGGATTCGCTTTCGCCGCGACGACTAAAGGGAACGAACTTGAAATCTTAGCTTTCGAGGTCGCGAACACGATCGTCAAGGGCTTTAATCTTATGCAATCCCTTTCCAAAAGGAATATCAAGCGGTTAAAGGAATTGCTCCCTTCAGAAGGGGTTCAGAATCTAGTGTCAGTCAATACAGATGAACTCTTGAGAATTTTTGCAGCTGACAAGAGGTTAGTTAGTACTACAAACATGTAATGGTTGAAGCAGTGAAAACTGTTTTCATTGTTAGGTTGACTCTGGCTATAGTTTAATTTGTCCTCTGTTTGAAACTAGAAAGTAATGATCAGCTTGTGTTTGCAGGGATGAGTTGAAGGTTTTCTCCTGTGAAGTGTTTCGTTTTGGGAACCGGTGTAAAGATCCTCAATGGCACAACTTGGATCGATATTTTGAAAAGTAATAGAGTTTTCTCTGGCTATTGGATTTACCCTTTTCAACTGCACACTGCATTGACTGTGATGTTGGGTCGTTTTTCCTTTCCAGAATTAGCAAAGAGTTTGCTCCTCAAAGGCAGTTACAAGACGAGGCAGAATCGGTGATGGAGGTTTTGATGATTTTGGTTCAAAATACAGCAGTATGTGGAGTGTCACCTTTTTTGTTTCCTCTTCTGCGATTCTATGGTTTGATTAGGTTAAAAAGATATGTTAGAAAGCCTTATTCTCTGAAAGATAAACAGTGGTGATGAAGTTTTTGTGTATGGTTCATGTATATGTACATGCAACAATGTCACATTCATAGTAATTGAAATTGTACCGACAAATGACCGAGATGTTTTCACTCCTAATCGTGTCTGTTTCCAGGAATTATACCAAGAATTGCAACTGCTGGACAAACTTGACCAAGAGTATCAGCGTAAACTTAGCGAGGATGACAAGCCAGGAAAAGGCCAGAAAGGTAATTATGGGTACTCATAATTTTGCATTTCTTGTGTTTATGTTCCATGTTAGTAGTAAGAAAATATGGGTATTGGTACTGAAGTGTGGCAGATATGGTATGCAGACAAAAGAACCAGTTATTTTCCTACAGCTGGAAAATTGTAGTTGGTTGTTAAATGTGAATTTTATACATAGTAGGGTTGCCTTGGGAGCTGAATGTTGATTCTAGTAATCACACCATGAACCTGTTATTAAAAGATAACCATGTTCTTATGAAACCCTGACATGAGTGGCCTTGTTCCTGGCGCACGCTGTTTACCTGAAAACTTTGCTGATGGGAATGATAAATATTCTATGGACATTGTTTGATATAACTTTAGATTGGCCATGTTGTGTTTGTTACTCAACAAATACATCAGTTAAGACTTAAGACGAACTAATGAAACACTTAATGTTAGTAAAATCTTATTATTGATTTACTTTCTCCGGAATGCAGGTGACGGCACTGCAATCTTGAGGGCGGAATTGAAAAGCCAAAAGAAGGAAGTACGAAACCTGAAGAAAAAATCACTGTGGTCCAGAAGTTTGGAAGAGGTGCTACCTGAGTTCTGCCTAATGTTGATGTCTTATTATTTACTTGATTTGCTTCCTTTCTTTCCCCTCTTTTTATTCTCTTCATTTAAGATTTTATCCTTTTACCCTTGCCCCCCATCTTTTCTTTCACTAGCTTTCATTATTTCTTAGTAAATGGCTAAATGCCACGTCTCACCAATTCTGTTACTGCAAGCATGTACTGATTAGCGAACAGGTTTAAACCAAATGATAAACACATATTTGCAATCTAATGTTAGAATTATATGTTTAAGTGACTGCTCATTCTCTCATAGGTGACTGGGAAGCTTGTAGATGTTGTTCGTTTTTTGCTCATGGAGATTGATGACACCTTTGGCAGAGAAGGTATGCCTGATAGAACAGTGTTGCTTACAAGATATTAGTCTTAGTTATCAATCTGGTGAAGCATATGACAATTCTCAAACCTCCCTAAGTTTATGGTATTCGATGATCAATCATGTTCAAAATCACTAGAGGTGTATCTGTATGCAGTATTCTGTTACTTGAGTTATATTTATCTATAACGTACATATCTTGGAGATGTTAACACCTTCAAGTTTGATAAATGAGGATACAGTAAATGAGGACCTGGCTCTTTTTGCCTTTTTGTATTGTGAGTAGTATTGCATTTGGATAGGCATCTCTGAATGCTGCCTTAATTTCCACTGGGACTCTACTGATGATATGTCTATATACATACTGCAGATAGTAGTGCTCTCGTCGAGTCATCTGCAAGCTGTCATCAGAGACTGGGACCTGTTGGCCTGTCCTTGCATTATGCAAATGTAGTTCTACAGATCGATGATATTGTAAGCATTTTTCCTGTTCTTAACATTGACATCTTTTATGTTTATGCTTTGTATTTGAGGCCTTGGTTCTTATTCAGGATAATAATGAAATCAATTCCGTTCTCCAACTTCAACCAAAAATTAAAGTGGAAAAGCACTTGTTTCATGCTATTATCCTCTGTAAACTCTAAGGATTTAGAATAAACAACTTCTTTGTTGAGAATTTCTTCATGGCTATCGGAATGTACACGTCTTCGGGTAGTATTGTGGATTTTGACTGGTTAGTTTAATATCTTAAAGGTCGCACAACCAAGTAATTTGCTTCCAACTGCAAGACATGGATTGTACCAGAGTCTTCCACCGAATATAAAATCCGCATTGCGTTCCAGATTACAGTCATTTGAAGTGAAAGAAGAGGTATTACTCTATGCTTTTCCCGGCTTTTATCATATAAGTTGTTTCAACATCGAACCCAAGAATCGTTGAGAAAGCTGCACTCAACAGGAATCTTGGTAAGAAAATGGAGTCCGGAAGAAGATAGTGGGAGGCGACTTACCTCTACATCACTAAAGTTGCTAGACATGAACCTTGTTTCGTTCCTAGCTCACTATATTGTTTCTGCTTATTGTGTTTTGTTGTCCAACAGATAAGCATCATTGGGATCAAAGATGAGATGGAGAAAACTCTAGCCTGGCTTGTTCCCATGTCCACCAACACAGCCAAGTAAAAGAAAGAGCACATTTCCAGTGATTTTGCTAACTGTTCCATCTCTAGCTTTGCTCATGATTCTGCTTCCCCGTTCTTTTTGCTTCAAATTTTAAACAGAGACCATCACGGATTTGGTTGGGTTGGAGAATGGGCGAATTCAGCGTGAGTTCTAGTACCTCTACCTGTCATATCTTCTATAATTGTAGTTGGAGGAAACTCTACTTAAAAGAAAAGGACATCGTATCATCGATATGATCGGTTTGAGGGTTTGTGTGCAGATCTGAAGGTAGCCGGAGGTCTGTATCTGGCAATAATGACTTCATTAGGATAGAGTCCCTCCATCATGCGGACAAGGAGAAAACAGAAACCTACATTCTTGAACTCCTGCTGTGGTTGCACCATCTAGTCAGCAAATCTAAGAAGGCTAGCAGTGCACGCGTAGATGCTAGCAAGTCACCGCCACTACCACCACTACAAGAGAAGCCGGATGCTGCTGAGAGTGGGTCGCCGCTACAGATCACCATTGAAGAGCAGAGAACGACGGAAAGTACAGGCGAGGAAGAGGGCAAGGACGATGGTGGCAGCCTGGAAACGAGTAAGAGCGAGGACTTCACAATAACGCTTTTGACGACGAAGACCAAATTAGAGAACAATGTTGGAGGTGATGTACAGAGCGAGGTAAATAGTATGTCAGCTTGAATGTTACATACGTATCTCTTGAAAGAATAAAGCTTTTAGACGAATGTTGAAGAAACGCAAAGAGTGTTATGTATATAATTAGCTTCGTTGGTTTCTTTGGCTTTGTGTGTGTAACCACTTAGTCTGTGTGTATTTATTTGCACTTACAAAATCACATTCTGGACTTAAGGCTGGTCCTCCGTGATGGCATGTGGATTTAAATCATTTTACAGCTAATGACCAATTTGCGAGCTCGTTTCCGCATTTGGAAACACATAAATGCAAGTACACCAAGCAAACTCATTACGTATTTCCAATGTTGTCATAATCGAACTGGAGTATGACCCGATAATGTGGATGGCTTGTACTTTAATGGTCCAACCGCCATTAGATCGTTTAAAAATCGTTAAAGCTGATACCTAATAAACGTCATCAGTATAAATAGTTGACCCTTCTTAATCAGAGTTCGTTTCTTTCCTTCGAAATGTTGAAATAGAATTAGGTTTCAGTTTGAGAGCCCGATTTTTTTTATTTTTATCAATTTTTTATTTTCTGAATTTTTTTTTAATTAAACTTAATGGCTCAAGGGCAAAAACCGGACGAGCGGCTCGATCGACTCGAGCGGTTAACCGCCTCGGCTGCTTGGTAGCCGCTACATTAAACCGAAGTAATTTTTAGACTGTTTCGAGCCGCTTTGGTGACCGGGTGGCGGTTTTATTGGTTGGGACGGACGGCTCGGTTCGGCTTTAATAACACTGCTTATTTCAACTCATGTCACCGCCCTGCTGCATCGTTGTCGCGTTGTTGACACATGTTGGTCGGTACAACAAAATTTGATTTCAATCAATATTTATCTATTGCGAAACCGATTGGAATGTCTTTGGTATGACTAGCGAGAGCGATTTTCTGACTTTCAAACAAAATGATGTCATCTTGGTTAATTTAATTGATAAAAATAATTTTTCTTTTTATTTCTTGAATTTGAAAGTTAAATGTTGATGTTATTTGTTGAATTCAAGTACGTATATTTAAATGTTTATGTTATTTGTTAGGTCATGTATAAACTTTTAGATTTGGTGTTACATGTATTAAATATGATGAGTTTACACTTTATATTTTGTTTTGAATCTTGTATTTTATTTAAATATAGATCTAGATTTTAAAGAGGTTCTCTTCAAATATGTTGTATATATCACTAACTTCATTTAGTGTAAATGATTTCTCACTTCCCTACATATTTAGCTAAAATCAACATGAACTAACACAAACTAGATTGTACAATAATCGAACCAAACCACCTACTAAACGTATAAACCCGTGCTCAAGTGAACATTTTGGTTATTGACCCGGGTCCCTACTCCCTAGTCATCTCCGTAACTACTGATAGCACATTAAATTTTAGTATTTTACCTTAAAAGATGCTCGGGAGAAGGCAGAGGTTATTATCTAGGATTAACCTCCAGACACAAACATACGCAGATACAGTCGTTTCCCGTCCTCGACGGAATATTGTCACCGCCTCCGGCTGACGCGAATCCTTCTTCCATGGATGACCAAACTCCGAAGAATCCTCCTCCCACCGACGGAGCGGCGGAGGAGATGGATGGTGATCAGTCTTCTGCTACCATGGTCGACCTAACCAGCTTCCAGCTCCACGATCTCACCTCCGTCGAGCTGCCGCCGACGCTCACCGAATTAGACCTCACTGCCAATCGCTTGTCCAGCTTGGACCCCAGGATCGCCCACCTCTCTAACCTCACCAAGCTCTCTCTCCGTCAGAACCTCATCGACGACGCCGCCGTCGAGCCCCTCTCCAATTGGGACCTCCTCTCCGGCCTCGAGGCAAACCCCTCCTTCTTCTTCTTAGTCCTTAATTAAACTTCGCTTGTCATTCATAAATTTCGATTTGATTGATTGATTGATTGAGTATCCCGCCATTGATTAACTTGATTTTGTCGATTAATTAAATTTTCAGGAACTAGTGCTCAGAGATAATAAGCTTGGAAAAATCCCTGATGTCGCCATATTCAAGAAGCTCTTGGTTTTCGACGTATCGTTCAACGAGATCCATTCTGCGCAAGGGTTGTCCAAGCTCTCTTCCACGCTTAGAGAGCTCTACGTCTCCAAAAATGAGGTTCCTAAGATGGAGGAGATTGATCATCTCTTTCAGTTGCGAATTCTTGAACTTGGTTCTAACCGACTGAGGGTCAGTCTCTTTTCCTATTTTGGTCTGAGGGGTTCTATGCTTCCATCATGCTTCATTTCATTGTTCCTTGTTTCAGAGATCGATTACTCTATGAACCATTTAATTACAGTAGGGAAATGAACGAATGTGTTGTCTAAGGTCTCCTATCCTCTAAACCTTCACTGCATATTTCAGGTAATGGAGAATATTGAAAAGCTGACAAACTTGGAGGAGTTATGGCTTGGAAGGAATCGTATTAAACAGGTTAACCTTTGTGGATTGAAATGCATCAAGAAGATAAGTTTGCAGAGCAATCGTTTGACTTCCATGACGGGGTTTGAGGTAATTTAGCTGAAAAGGAAGATTATTTCTCTGGTTTTATAATTTGAACAAGCTTGTGGGGTGTTACTAATGGAAACCGAGAATTTAGGTTTCCCTTTTAACCAATTTTTACCCCCTATTTGCAGGGGTGTGTTGCATTAGAGGAACTGTACTTGAGCCATAATGGTATTGAGAAAATGGAAGGCCTATCAACCTTGGTTAATCTCCGTGTACTTGATGTATCGTCTAACAAGCTCACTTCTGTTGATGACATTCAGAATCTGCCAAAGTATGTGTGGAATACATTCTTCTTAACTGAATCATGTTCTTCATATTGAGAGCTGGTAGGAGTGGCTTACTTTGAATTTATTCTGCAGGCTAGAAGATCTATGGCTCAATGACAACAGAATCGAGTCTCTTGGAAGCATTTCTGATGCTGTTGCTGGCTCGAGAGAGAAACTGACCACAATCTACCTGGCAAACAATCCATGTGTAAGATTTCCAACCACTATAAAGCAGCTGAAACACCCTCACTGTCACATAATATCATTTGCCTTCAGATTCCCCATTACAGTGTTCGGTCCGAAGTTTTGGTTGTCTTCCTTTCATATTGCTTGTTGTCGGGTGATAATGCATTATATTTGCGAAGTCATGCTCCAAGCTGCTGTCGGCTTCTTTTTGCTCTAATGTAAGTTTGTTACAGACGTACAACCTTTTGTCCTGATTGGCAGACTGCTGATCTTGTTTGATTAGTCCATATAGGACGCATCTCCTGTTTGCTGTCTGAAAGTACCATTGTTGATCCCCTCTTTTTGCAGTCTCTTTATTCTTATTTCAAGAATCAAGAATGTCCTCTCTTTCCTAGCTACATGTCATTGATCATTTATATTCGTCAAATATCAAAGAGAAGTGGCCATTCCATTACTGAATTCCTCCTTCCGTAACATCTTGTTTATGCATTCTTCGAGACTCCTGCTGCTGCGATTAAATACTCGTGCTCATATTTGTTTTATTTTCTCTTTACACGACCTAGTTTCTCAATTAATTTTTATTGTTGCTTGTGGTTGCAGGCAAACTCTCCTGACTACTGTTCTACATTGAAGCAGATTTTCCCAAACATTCAGCAAATTGACTCCAATGTGTATGGTTGATCTGCGGCTAGTGGAAAGACGGATTTTCCAGCAAGAGTCCTAAGTTATGCTTATGGGCTACGGGATGGCGCAGCCTGTTCTTATTAGCAACCAACAAATCACCATGTTGGTCTGGGTTTGCAGGTCACCTGACCTCCCAGTTTTTTGTTGGGAGGAAAACAATAGTTGACATTGTTGATTATTACATGGAGCTAGCTGTCGTGAATCAACTCCTGCTCTAGATTATATATTCGTCTGTGCTTCTGATTATCATTTTTTTTTTTTTTTTTTGCTTCAACGATCTGCTCTATGTGACATTTCTTGGTTGTCCTTTCCTCAGAAGAGGTCGAAGTTTGAGATGTATGAATTCCTTGGCCACTGAACTTAATCCTTTCACTGTTAACGGGTTGGGGCAATGCTTGCTGACGCATGGTGGAGTAGTTTATAGAGAGTTCTTAAAGTGGGTGAAGGTTGCCTTTTGTAGTGCATTTAGGAGGAAATGGTATTTGTGTTTTGATCATTCGATCATATTTGCTGCAACTTTGCAAACTTTCTGCACTGGATTTGGTCACGCAAAAGCTCAAAACGCATAAAAACAGTTACATCGCGCCAGGAAGGGGTCGAACCTTCGACCTTCTGCTTAGGAAACAGACGCTCTATCCACTGAGCTACAGGCGCTTGTTGATAAATTTCGAGTTCATAGTGATTTAACTTGTGACAGTCTGCCATTGTCAACCATAATCCATGAAACCGTACCGGAAAAGTTAGCGATAGGGTATTTTATTGCAAAACTGTGGTATAACAATAGTTCAACCGTTAGAATCGTCAAATACCGTCTACCAATTTAGCCTTCAATACTGATATTTTGTGGTTGAACCGCCGGTACGATACAGTTTCATGGAACATGTTGTCAACTCTACATAAATCCAACCAATCTTCAACCATTGTCAAGAGGAAAAAAATCTAAGAACGAAGCATTTATTAGAAACCACAATCGTCAAGTCACTGCAAATCTTACCCCATCCTTGCTCTAACCAACCACTTCCACTACATGTAAATTTCGTCACCATCATCAAGTTACTTACAAATGCCATCCCAATTCTTGCCCTAATCAAAATCAACCACCTCCACAATTTAGAGATTTCCTCCCCTTCCATCAATGTAACACTCTTTTCTGTCTAGCATCCCAACCATCATAGCTCAGCCCTTGATGGCGCTTGAACATCACATCATGACCATACAACCAGGTCGCAATACACATAAGTCATGGTTAACAATAAGGGCACGATGCTGATTAGGGCTGCAAATGAGTTAAACCGATTGTTTATGCCTGATTAGTACTAGATGGTTTGTGGATCTCACGAGCTACAAACGATCTATGAGAGGGGAGCGGTCACGCGAACCGTGCAAGAAAGGTACTCAGGGAATTATGGGACCTCCTCTGAGGCCTAAGTTAGTGAGAGAAATTGAGAGAATAGTCAATAGGAGAGAGAGTAGTGGTTAGAGCTTACCATAAATGCTGCCAATAGGGGGTATTTGCACCCACTTTGGTTACAGTGGGGGCAAAATGATTCGTCAGGCCTCCAAGGATGCCTCTGTTGTTCATTAAATGCGCAGCCAATACGTACCTTTATCAGTGTCCATTATGAGACGATCAGGTAGCCGTTAGACCGTTATATCGGGCGGTCTTCTAGTGTTTGGTCGAAGACTGTGTCGGCGGTCTTCTAGTGAGTGGCCAAAGATCGCGTCCGAGACTTTTCCAACGTGCGTGCCAGTTCATTTGGGCCTGGCTTGCTTGTTTTGTGGACTTTGGTAACCATGGGCTTGAGGGCCCACGTGTTTCGATACTTGGCCCAACATTTGCCCCTTAGGCGTGAGAAGCGTTAGGTTTTCGCGCCTATATTGTTGCCTTTCTCGCCCTTGGGCGGTTCTTAGTCGTTCGGCCCATGGTTACCCGCTTGCCCCAAGCCGTGAAGGTCTCATGCTAGAATGCCTTAGGGGCGGTTAGGTCGTGTTGCGGTTTGCCCCTCGTTTCTCGTGACACCACGTGTCATGCATCAAGCATAGAGCCCTGACAAGGTCAACTCAACCGTCACATATGTGTTTTTTTAATTCAAAACTTTGCTTTAAGTGGGATTGGGAAAGATTTTTTCCACCATTTTTGCTTCCTCTTTTCAGAAAACGTCGCCTTCTTCCTTCTTCTCTCCTCTGTGACTGATTTAGAGCTCGTCTTCGCTGATTCCTATAAAATTCGACAACTTTTTCTGGTAAGCTTACTCCTCTGTCTGTGTTTGTGTTTGGCGCATGTGTTCTTTTCTTCTCTCTAACAATTCGTGTTGTGGTTTCTTTTTTGTAAACACAGCCATTGCTCGGTGTTTTGAATTGCGTTCTCACCTTTGTGGCAAAAATGTGGTTCGCCGATCTCTTCGTCATTTCCATATGTCAAGCAAAAGTTGAGCATCGTCCGACGTCATGGAGGAGCACGCTGCCGCTACTTCGGAGGCCGTACCAGACGCCAACCCTGCTCCGATTGTCATGGACAAGGCTTCGGGGAAATCTCCGGTGACACTGACCTCACCACTCATGGTATGACTTGCTTTTCTCCCATTCGAAGCGTTTCTGAGTGCGAGTGGGATTTATCCGGGTTAGAATTATACTTTGGGAGCGATTGCCTTTTGGGGGTTGCTTTAGACTTGGATAGTTCTTTTGCTAACATCCTCCCTGTACCAGTTAGGGTTGTGGCTACTTATTCCGCGGTTGGAGATAATTTGGGTGAGTTTGAGTTTATAGACTTAGGGAGTGGGTCATCGGATGAGGATAACACGGTTGGCAGGGATAAGACGTGGTCTAGTGCACTTCCTAGTACGTCATCCTCCTTGGAGATTTCCGAGTCAGAGGAGGAAGAGCAGCTCCCGCTTGTCATTGAAGATTCCACGTATACCATTTTGCACCATGAAGGTATGTGGGGTGGGAAAGCGGTTCCATCTGAAGTTTTTGGTTGGGGACCATCTTATGAAGCGACTTTTTTGGCGGAGCATGTTCTTCATTGTTTGAAGATGTTTCGTCTTCCCCCGAAATGGCAATATGCGACCCCTTCTAAGGTGAGTCAATGTGGGTCCTGTCCCAACGATTAGATCCTCATTCACATGAAACAAGTGAAGTTGGGTTTGCGGTTCCCGTTAGATGCTATCATGACGAGGGTTTTGCTTTGGCTTCTGTGTACCCTTGGTCGTCTTTCTCCTACCATCATTTTCACTCTATTGCCTACCGACTCACGTGTGACCGCCTAAGGGAGACTCCCTCTTTTGATGCATTCCGTATGATTTACAACATACGTGATTTGACGAACTGTTGGTCGATCGAGAGGCGTGACAACTCAGTGGGTTTCTTCACGGGGTCGCCAAGTTGGACTTGTATTTGTACAAGGAGTACTTCTTTGTGCGTCCAACTTGGAAGTGGTACTTGAGTGTAACCGCTCCTCTACCAGGCTACACAGTTGGTACAAAAGAAGACCGGGGTTTGTCAAACCAGTTTCCTCAGTATGTTAAGGATCATGTGGATCGTATCATAGAGGGCATTCAACTGCGCTTGTAAACCGGCGATTCTGATAACGCATACCAGCTTGTTCGTGAATTCTATGGTTAGTAGCGTGCTTCCTTTGTTTTATGTCCAAATTACTAATGTCGTTTTACTTATGCTTTCTTCTTCCAAGTTTGAAGGAGTGGTCGATGCGGTTAGGCCGAAGAAGAAGAAGGCCAAGAAAACCGTTTCACCCCGCGGTGGGGCCTCATCCTCTATGGCTACAACGGCTCCGTCTCCAGCGGTCCCTCCATCGCAGACTCAACTGGCTGTAAATCCTTTTGGCGAGATGGTCATCACTTCCTTTCCTACCTCGCGAGGTGTGGGGAAGAGACAGGTGGAAAAGGGCGTCCCTAGCGTGGGTGTCAAGCGGGCCAAGAAGGCCTCTCCTCGAGCGAAGGCAGTGGACAAACGTGGGAAGAGTGTGAAGCAGTCTGATAAATTGGATGCAATATCTTTTTCCTCTGAGGCTTCCGCCGATGCTGAGGCAGCAGAGTTTACCTTTCACGCTATCAGTGACAAGCTCGTAAAGCCTAGTGAGTATACTGCCACTATGCGTGGCTAGGGGTGGAAATCGGTATGGTATCGGTATCCCAATACCAAAATCATGAATACCAAATTACATACTAAAATCAATCCCAATCCCTAAATAATTTATGTATCTCAATTCCAATCCCTAAATATTTTGGTATCCTAATTAGTATTTCGGTATCCCAATCGGTATCATCAAATACGAAATTAATTACCTTTGTAATTAATAATTAAATATATAAATTAGATTTGATTGTTTAATTTAGGGTAAAGAGACTATGCAAAGAGTCTTGAGTTTGCCTAGAGCTAGGACATGTATAAGGAGAAAGAAGGAGAGGTGACAAATCAAGTTCTTGTCATTAGTAATTTTTAATTCGACGAATTGGAGGCTGAGAGACGACTAGTACTAGCGCTTTTTTTATGTTGTGAAAATAACAAAAGATTATATGAGAGACGAGAGTGACTTGAACTAAAAACCGAAAATTGCTTTTTGATGGGGACTTGTGAATTATAAAAGAGTTGGGAATAACCAAAAGTTATGTGCTATATTTCATCAATTTTTAATTTTTGTTGTTTCTCGATATTTCGATATATACCGATCACAATCCCGTAATCTCGAATATTGAATAGCACTCCAAAATGAATCCCGATCCCTAGAACATAAATTGATATTCAGTAATACCAAATAATGATAAGTTCGATACGATATTCGGTGTATCCAAGGTTGTCAACCCGCGGGTTGACCCACGGGTCGACCCATTTTGACTCTGACCTGGTGAGAAAAATGGGCTGCACGCACCCGCCGGGTCGACCGCTACAAGGTACCGGGTTAGAGGTCAAATTGTGTCTTTTTTTTTTGGTTTGCGAAATGCGCCTATTTTCCGATTTTTCTTTTCGCCTAACTCAATTTTTGGAATCCAAAGTTGAACATTTGAATATTGATGTTATATAAGTGTGTGTGAATTTTCACTATATGTTGGATCTAAGTACGACATGTTATTTTGGTGTAATATTTTATGTTATAACTCATATGTTAGATGAGATTTGATATAATTTATCAGGATAAGTACAATATAATGACTCTTTCCACATTTCCGGGCTAAACCGGGTGACCCATTAACTCTTGACCCACCAGCTCGTCCGGGTCAACCCGCGGGTTGACAACCTTGGGTGTATCTCAAATACCGGTATCAAACTTCAAGCCCTATGAGTGGCAGTAACAAGCATCTCGATAGGACCGCGACCCAGTTCTTCTTTGCGGTTAGTGATTGTACCTTTGTCGTTGTTGTTATTCCCCTAGTTTTGTTAGTAACTTTCTGGGTGTTGGTGTGCAGTCTCAGGTAGGGTTCTCTCAAATAATCATGCTAAATGACCGCCTATCAAAGACTTTTGATGAGAACGCGGTTGAAATTGACAACCTAAAGAAGAATTTGAGTGATGGCGGGAAGCGTGTATTGAGGAGGTTCGCCCCCAGATAGCACAGAGTTACGAGGAGCAGTTAGCCCATAAGGAGGGGGAGTTGCTGACGGAGAAGGAGGTCGTTAAGGCGGTTAAGGAGGAGAGGGGCCAGCTGCAAGAGAGAGTGCAAAAGTCTGGTGAGTTGGAGAAGACATTGCTTGATGAACAGGAATCGCTCCACAAGGAGTTATCGACACTCAAGGTGGAGAACAAGGCTCTGAATCCAACCGCGAGTTAGACTTGGCCGGCGCTCGTGCTGAAGCCGGTCCTGCCTACTTGATGTGTGCCGAGTTCCTTGCCCTGGAAAAGGAAAAGTACAAGAAGATAGTGGGATCCTTTGTGGCTTCTGTTCGCCATTGTTTCCGTTGTGACCAACCCGGGGCAGTTTGGAACATGGTTGTCATTTGGGACGCGATTAGTGGTTGGACCGACCACGATGTCAACTCTGAAGTTGACGAGGAAGATGAAGCGCCCTGCAAAGGTGGAGATGGTAGTGAGGGTTCCAAGAGTGTTCAGTTTCTAGTTTCTTTTTCAGACGAATATAATTTTGTTAAGGCTCGCAGACGGCCTGTTGTCGTAACTTGGAATATTTGATTATATTTCTTTCTTGGGGGTGATTGACACTCTGGTAATATTGACAATTCCATGGTCATCGCATCGGGACGGATTTATGCTATTGTTGATTTGATATCCTAGTTGTAGCTTGCTTATACGGTCTTGTTTTCGAGTGTGTGATCGCATCGTGTTGTTTCGTTTGATGTCTCAGCAAATTCATGTTTTTCATGTTGATATTTAGTGTTTATCCTGACTATGTATTGTGACTCCATCGAGTTGTGATTATCAAATGAATGTGTTAGGATCAATTGATCTGTTACGAATCAATCTATACTTTTAGGCCTGAAGCGGGGTCCCGTTACTTTTTGACAAATATATTCTGAGTATTGTGTGCTTGTTGAAAGCATAGAGTAGATACTTGTGAGTTTGGCCAAAAATATGAGTGTATTATGTGGGCAAAAGTGGTTGCTTTGAAGTGAAAAATACACTATTATAATTGGCAGGTTTGTTACATGAACCACCAAAACCCTATCTACTACGAAATGACGCTCTTCAGATCGTTTCAGAGTAGCACTTCATCAGGTGCATGGCGTTCCATGGTTTGGAGATTGGGACGCCCTCCATGTTTGCAAATCGAAAGGTGTTGTGACCTGTTTTTTTCCGATGAGGAAAGCACCAGGTCGGCGAGTTTGCCGTGCTCATCTTTCTTTTGGAAATCACGCTTGATCCCTCTTCCACGGATTGCAGTTTCACTATTTTGTTGTAGGTGGGGGAAACCTTTGCTTTCTTTTGAAGGATCTGTGTCGTGGCCGCGTCGAACCGCGATTCCCCCATGTCCAATTGTTCCAGAAGCTTCTGATGATTGTCCTCGGATTTGTTCGCCTAGACGGGAATAGAAGGTAAATTCATTTCCTCGGAGGCGACCACCTTTGAGCCGTATGTGAGAGCGAAAGAAGTTTCACCTGTAGCTATTTTGTGTGTAGTGCGGTGCCCATAAGATGTGCGAAAGCTCAGTCGTAAACGCCCCTTTGGCGTCTTTGAGGCGTTTCTTCAATCCTCAGAGAATCAGCTTGTTCGATGACTCGGTTTGCCCGTTAGCTTGCGGGTATGCTACAGATGCCATGGTGCATACAATGCGGTTCCTGACGCAAAAGTTTTCAAATGGCATGCAATCGAAATGGGTGCTGTGATCCGTGATGATTGAGTGTGGTATGCCAAAACGGATTATGATGTTGTTGAATACGAACTTTCAGACTCTTGCGCTTTGTGATTGTTTCAACGGCTTCGTCTTGATACATTTAGTGAAGTAGTCGACTGTCACGACCAGGTACTTTTTCCCTAGTGGGGTCGTGAGGAATGGTCCCAAAAGATCAAGCCCCCATCGAGCAAATGGACACGGTCCTACCACGCCTTACAACTCCGAGTTGGCTACTTGGTGTTTTGTGGGTGAATTTGGCATGCGTGACACTTCTGAACGACGTATGGGGCGTCTTTTTTAATTGTCGGCCAATAGTAGCCTTGCATGAGGATTGTACGCTCAAGGGATCTGGGCCTCGTATGAGTCGCGCACGTCACTTTGTGTATCTCCTTTAGCGTCCATTTTGATTTCTCTGGGCCTAGACACTTTAGTACGCTCCAAAGATCAATCTTTTGCATAGTTATCCCACTACATCGTGTAACGAGTCGTCCTCCTTTGTAGCGCTTTGCGCTCAATTGGGTGACGAGGAGCGATGTACTGCTCTAGGTATTCGATTAAGGGAACCCGCCAGTCTGCGGTTTCTTCAATGTCCATCACTTCTTCCTGAGGACCGCTCTCATTTCTGATGGTAGTCGGTCGTCTCGAAATCCATGTCGGTTGCTAGCTTGGAGAGCGCATCTGCATGTTGGTTGTCTTCTCTTCGGACATGCTCAAGCTTCCATGTATTCAGTTGCGCCAGGTCGCGAGCAACTCAGCGTTCGAATCAGGAAATAAAATCGTTTGACACTCGACTCATTATTTTACAAGCAGACTCATTAGTAAACGAGCCAAGCTCGAGCAAGACCATGCTCATCTTGATCAGCTCGTGAGCTAACTTGACTCGGTGTCTTGTCGAGCTTAGCTCGCGAGCTGGCTTGTTTAGAGCTTGTAGAAAGATTAATTCTCATCTGAACATGAACATTATCTTGTTAATACAAATGTGTATAGAAGTTTGCTGTTATTTTTAGATTCTAGTGTTCTTTTTATTATTTAAACTCTTACGTTTGCACATTTTTCAGTAAGAATGATTTCACATCGAGCTCATCTTGAGCCAAGCTTGTACTCAAATTTACAAGCTGTGTTAATGAGTATTTACCGAGTCGAGCTCGAGCTGAATTTTTCTTGCTAATGGCTAATGACAGCAATTCAACTCAAACAATTGCATCGAGTCCTTCTCAATATAGTCTCTTTTCAAAAAGATGTTTTACAATAGTTATGCTATATTCCGAAATCAGCCCCCTCACCACTCCCACCTTTAGGTTGTCTCGGTCGTCTACTTGCCCCAAATTCGTTTAAGAACTGTACCATGTCCTCATACATTGTTACATGTTCAAGTAACCCAGTCTGGGATTGATCAAAAAAAGTTTCAGATGCTTTGTACCAATGTTGAGTTTAATTATAGCTCATACGAACTCACAATAACGAGTGAATGGAAAACAATAGAAGAGGAAACAACCATGTGAACTGAACAATGCTCTAAATAATGCCGCAATAGAAACCAACGTTCTAAATCTTTGAAGATCAGCGATGAAGATCGAAACTCAAAACAGAAAAGAGAATGCCAAGATGCCTTCGATCAAACAAACAACAAAGTAACACTTGACAAGCCACGATAGCCATGGCTAAGCGGTACACGAATGACAAGCAGAACAATTTCCAAAACCTAATCGTCATTCCTTTGTAAACCTTTTACCCAGAAGGGTTCGGCCACAATCATGGAGAGCATGTTTCACATTGCGGAGAGCAACCTTCAATTCTCTAGCCTATGCAACATAATGAGGATTATCGTCAAGATCGAAAAACATCACTTAAAATTTGGCCAGTCTCAAAATTCACAATATCCAATCCTTCCCATCTAAACAGCAACATTGAAGAAACACAGAAACCCATCCATAGCTACTGAAGACATGGATAAAACCGACAAATAGTGCATGAAGAAAACCTAATCGAAGAGCGAGAAACCCATATCATCGTCACTTTCCTCCTTCTCCTCTTCCTTCTTCTTCTCCTCTGCTGCAGGTGCCGCTGCGGCAGCTGCTGGTGCTCCTGCGCCGCCGCCTCCGCCACCGCTGCTGGCGAACCCTCCGCCTCCGACAGCACCACCGACGATCACCTGAAACACGATTACATCAGATCAATCCCCGAATCTAGAGTTGAGAGAACAGCAAGAAGGTAATACCATAAGCAATAAACGAGTAAGCGAACGGACCTGGAAAACGGCAGAGCTGGGAGAGATGAGGGAGAACGAGGATCGAACTCCGCCGGAGGAATCGGTGGCGAGGACATCCTGAACGAGCTTCCTCTGCAGGTCGAAGGTGGAACCAGCCGATGCCTCAAGATCACCGGAGAGCTGCTTGCCGCACCATTCGTCGCCGGAGCTCTTGCACACGAAAGTGAAAACTCCCATTGTTCCGCTTCGATCGAGATTTCGAGAGAGGCTGCTGAATTCTGTGACTGCTTTACCTTCGGCGAAGATATGAAACGTATTTATATGTCACGCATTCGCTTGAACCCTAGCCTTCTCCTCTTTGTATTCTGATTAGACGTATTTACCCCTGAACATTCATCTCATATTCCAATAGTGCCCTCACTCTTCCCCGCTTGCTTTCAATTATTTCTTTTTATTTTATTTTCTGAGGCATGCAATGCGTTATCAATCAGGCGGGAAAAGTTAATCTGCTAACTTGAAAATTCGTTAGCAGATACTAACTGATATCCAGAATACATGAACTAGTATCCAAATATTAAAGTGTCTAGAGAGCACATACTAGTATTCAAAGTTTGCTAACTGATATCCACCATGAATCAACTATTATCCCAAATTCACAAACTAATATCTAGACAACACAGAATAATATCCATACAACACATAACTAGTATCCAGATAACACATAAGAGTATCCAGATTACACATAATAGTATCCATATTGAATACTAGTTGGTTGATTGTGGATATTAGTTGGTATCTGCTATCTGGATACTAGTTTGTGATGTTTAGAATACTAGTCTGTGCTATCTAGATACTCAGTAGACTTGGATATTAGTTCATAGATTTTGGATATTAGTTAGTATATACTAACGAATTTTCAAGTTAGCAGAATAACTAGGCTGCAATCAGGCGAACACTCCCTTCTTCAGTTCTCCTCCTCCTTGGGGCTGGAAGCTATCGAGGCGTTAATGGAGGTTCAAGCTTTGCGGCTTTCTTCCTTCTCAGGTAACTTCCGAACCGTACACGGTACTCCTACAGCTTCAAGTGTCCGAAATGGAAGCCATAAGCTCTCTGATTTCGGTACTCAATCTGTAGGGCTTAAATGTTTCCGCAAGTACTCGAGATGGCGCGGAAGTACAAGTAGAGCTGGCGTTTGTGTTTCTTGTTCAATCGATTTGGAGAAGCAACCTGAACCGATTCCAATTCAGAATTTGACCGATGCGCGAGTTATTTACAGCGTGGCTCCTGCCATGGGCCATAATCAGGTACCAAGGTAGCTCTGGCTGAAATTCTCTTTCTACGCCATTTGAGACTTTGGATGTTCAGTCTCTTCGTTTTTTCTACTATTTCAACCTCTCCGAGCTGTGAGAGTTCTATACAACTGTACTGTGAAGAGTTTGCTTAGCTTAATGATCAATGCGTTTAAGTTCAACTGGAGATTCTGGTCACTGATCTTCGGGAGTTTAGGGGATATGGCAGTGAAGTTCTGGTTCAGGAATGTTCAAATTGCAAATTACGAGTGAAAGCAAACCGATGAACAGTGGAAAGCAAGCAAATGCATATTGATGTATTCCTTGTCATTGGATATAAGATTGACAGAAAGTTTCATAGTTTTCATTCATCCATCCATCAATCCTTTCAATTGAATGAGCTAGAAAAAGGTTCGGTTTTAGACTGAATAATTGCAATTCCTTGAAAATGGCGTCAATCATTGCAAACAATGGCAGGGCAAATGGTGTTCTTGATTTACTAAGTTGATTATGTTCTTCTGTTTTGCTTATGCTAATGCATTCGTGGTTTGGTAATTTTTACTATGCTCTTTGGCTACTTTCTTGGCAGGAGGCACATCCAGAATCCCATTTTAGAGTTCCTGCAATCGTGACTGCTCTTGAAAAGATGGAACTTACTCCAAAGGTATTGAGCATCACCTAACATCACATTATTATCTGTCCTCTGTAGTTGGCTCTTGATACTCCTTGTTTAAGATTGAATTTCTTATGCTTCTACTCACCTTGTACTTGCTTGATCATTCTTCTCAAGTTTTTCTGTTTGTACCTGAATCATGAGTTTCCTTTTTGGTTTTACCAAGTCAAGTATGGCCAACAGGCAGGTGACCTGGCAGTCTTGGTGTTGGTATAGTGTTAGTAGCACCGATTTTTTTTTTTTTTTTTTTTTGTGCAGAGAAAAAGCCTCTGAAAGACCTAAATGTTCTGCATGAGATGTCTTTAGGGAAGAACGGGTTGCGTTATTCCGAAACAGTTGTTGGCATGCACCATACATGCTTGTAATGTATAACAACTTAAAACGGAAAAATAAAAGACCTCTTTCATTTCTTTTCTTTCACTATAATTGTTTTCTTCAAATCAACTTCAGAAAACTTCTTAGAATGTTAGGTAAACAGAGAGATTTTGGAAGAAACGTCCAGAGGGGCCTTTCTTCTGGTTTTTGGCTTTATTTCCTGTCTTGTTAACTGGCTTTGCTGAAGATTGATAAAGTTGTACATAAAACGCGAACTTGTGTATGTGTTTTGGACCATTCTTTCACTGATGACAAATGTGATTGAATTTCTACATATGTTAATTTGTGGAGAATCAAAAGTTATGCATACTTGATTGAAGCTTTACTAGAATTTGCAAATTGATTGTTTTGTAATTGTAAATGTCAGTTTCGTGGTTCAGAGATCATTGAGCTTACAAACTTCAAACCTGCTTCAGTAGATGACATTGCAAATGTTCACAGTAAGGCATATGTCACAGGCCTCGAAAAGGTAGTCCCTTGACCTGCAACATTGTTTTATATGCTTTCCATTCCGACATTCCTCGTCTTGGTACTAGTGTGATTTTATGAAGAACTTTCACCATAATGAAAATTTTCTATATTCCTTAACCTTATTTGGTTTTTACAATGCCTCAAATATGATTCTTCGTTGTTTTGAGTGTTCAAATCTATGTTGCCTTCCTATTCTGGTTCTTCTATTCCTTCTGTGTCTGCTTGTGCTTTGCCAGCCTCACCAGCTTGTCTATCACTGTTTGTTAGGCTATGGATGAAGCTTCACAGCAAGGCATAATTTTGATTGAGAATACTGGTCCAACCTATGCTACTCAGATGGTAAGTGGGCTATCTTCAAAGGGTTCCTTTTTCGGTTTTTTTTATTTATTTAAGGTCTCTTCTCTAGACTTTTAGCCTATGATTGGGTTTATCCCACTCTGGCCGGATCCATAGGAGCCATGTATTGAATCATACTATCCAGAGTATAGAGCTTCAGTAGCTTAGACTTTTCCTTAAATTTCCTGATCAATGCAGACCTTCCAGGACTCACTCATGGCAGCTGGATCTGGACTAGCATTGGTTGATTCAGTGGTACAGTCACGACCTTGCACATGGACTTGATATGTATAATGATAGCCTCTAGCTTCAATTTACTTATGCATACTGCATGATATCAAGAGCATAGAGTTTGCTGCTATAGTGATCAACAGAATTTGTATTAGGTTGAAGCATCAAAGCACAGCCAGAATCCGCCAACAGGGTTTGCGTTGATAAGACCTCCAGGGCATCATGCAGTCCCAAAGGGACCCATGGGCTTTTGCGTATTCGGTAATGTGGCCATTGCAGCTCGCCACGCACAGCGGCAACATGGACTGAAGAGGGTATTTATCATTGATTTTGATGTCCACCATGGGAATGGCACACATGACATGTTCTATGATGATCCCGATGTATTCTTCTTGTCTACTCACCAGGTAAGCATACCATTTGGTTTCATTTGATCTGCATCATTCATTTGTGGTAATATTCTTTTTCTCCTCTCCGATCCATTTAAAATGAGCCATTTGTAGATGACCTTCCAAATCACCTTTTGTATTAGTTCAGAACGGAAGCTACCCCGGTACAGGTAAATTCGAGGAGGTAGGGGTTGGTGCGGGTGAAGGAGCGACTCTGAATCTGCCTCTACCCGGGGGATCAGGCGACATTGCAATGAGGGCAGCATTCGACGAAGTCATTGTACCATGTGCCCAGAGGTTCAAGCCAGATATAATCCTTGTCTCTGCAGGGTGAGTTAGTTGGCAGTTTGTTACTACCAGTTAGTAGTACCTGAAGCCACCCAATAAAAGATCATTAAACTATCACCCTGATTTGGTGTTGGCAGTTACGACGGGCATGTACTGGACCCACTTGCGAGCCTACAATACACAACAGCGACCTACTACTCTCTAGCTGCGAACATCAAGCAGCTGGCCAAGGATCTGTGCGGTGGACGGTGCGTGTTCTTCTTGGAAGGTGGTTACAACCTCGAGTCCCTCTCGCATTCGGTGGCGGACACGTTCCGGGCGCTGTTGGGGGACAAGAGTAAGGCGTCGGAGTTTGACAACCCTGCCTTTCTGTACGAGGAGCCATCGACGAGGGTGCAGCAAGCAATTCAGAGAGCAAAACACCTGCATTCCCTCTGAACTCTTTATGTTTCTCTTCTTTTTGTGTGTACTTTGTATGCATGTATATGTCATGTATGTATGGTTGTACATAGACTCAGCACCGTATCCCATTGGCGTAATTAATTATACGGTGATAGATACCCGCCCCTCCCGCTGTAATGACGGGTTCATGACTCCGAACATGCGTTGGTTGTGAAGGCTGTAAATAGAAGTAAAACAGGGTAGAGAAAGCAAAACAAAAGCAACGGCATCCCAGATATAGGGTTTGGGTTTGCCTTTGGGCAACTGGAAGTTGTTGTAGGTAAAAGCTTACGCGGGTTAGAATTAAGTGGGAATATTATATATGATTTTTGGGGTGGTAGTGGGGAGATTCGGAAATCGTAATCCTTCCTAGTACACAATTAATAAGTAGTAGAAGAAGTGTGTCTTTCGTTTGGACGTATGTTGCCGGTGAGTGCCGTTTCACTTTCTATCGTGGTGATAGGAAGAACGTAAGACGTCCAAGATTGGAAGGAAACGAAATTAGTTGAGGTCGATTTCTTTTGGGAAATATACATACGGGGAAATATGGCGAGCCACTGAGGGAGTGGCACGGTGGCAGAGCTACCAACGGCGGTTGGATTCTGAAGATACCAAGAAATATCAGGGTGGGGCCGTGACATCCCAACATCAAAGGGGCGCGAATTACGCCACCGTTGTTCCACATTCGAATGATATGATCAATATTAATTTATCTCAACTTATTTTCTTTTTCTTTTTATAACAAATATAATTACGTCCTTTTCCATATCCTATACACTAGCTTTGTGCCCGGCCTTTGGCCGGGTCTGAGCTGGATTGTTTATGTGTTATTATTGCATGTTTTTTTACGTGTCTCTATATCACACAATTGTTTTGCATAATTATATAAAAGCAATGCTATGGGATCAGCATGAAGTAGAATTTTTATGTATTCATTTTAGCAGTTGGTAAGAAAAACCTTCACATCTTTTTTGTGCACACATGACACAACTGAAGGCTTTTGTTTTCATACATAAATATATAATATAATACTTAGAAAAGCCTTGCATCTTATTTATACACACAACTGAAGGCTTTTGTTGTAGTACATAAATATCTAGCATATATTGTAGGATAGATAAGTCTTAAAATCTTATTTGTAGACACAACTGTAGGCTTTTGTTTTTTAACCTAAAAGTATCTAAATAGTTTGTAGGTAGGGTAATTTGTAGATGCTGCATGTGTATGATGGTAGTGGTCCTGAGTGTTGGTTTACTCTCAAATCTCATTTTACCAAAGCTACGTTTTCTGTAGTACAAACATTCATTGACAACTAAATGAGGAATCACATTCCTATGAATTGAAGCAATAGAACCGGCAACCAAAAGCTTTCCCTATCTATGGTGTTCCCGCGAAGCGCGAATTGATAAGCCGTGAAGATAGTAGTGACGGGGGCGGTATATAAATGAGAAGAAGAAAATATGGCGGATGGGCGGGCAGAGATTGGTGGACGGGTGAAATCCATTGGCAGAATTCCAGGGAAAGAACGGGAGGCGTAACGGGTGGGACGGCGGCGAAATGGTGTGTCCGACGACAGGAAAAATGGCGTACAACGGTTGGTGAATGGAATGCTAAGAAGAATATGACGGCCGATTGATTTGCCGCGGAAGAAGATGGGTTGGTAGAACTTCCTAGTGATGGCTGGGATGGCATGGGATCCCCCGGGGATGATTGCGCTGGGATCGTGTGGGCGGAGAGTGCGGAATACACCGATGGGAAATTGGGGAGGGTAGTCAGCGTATGTCTGGGACGGTGAGGAGGGGTTTCGCTAGAGTTGGGAACTAACGGAAAGGATTCAATGGGGATAGGGAGTGTCTGTGATGACGTGGAAGCGTGGTGGGACGCAAAATTTGAATCCCTGCACTGTATAATGGAAAAACGCTTATATATATATATATATATATATTTGTTAGTAAGGGTGCAAATCAGCCGAGTTGAGCTGAGTTTTACCTCAGGTTGAACTTCACTCGTTAACAAATGAGCTTCACTCGAGCCCGAGCCATTTATTAATGAGCCGAGTCTAGTCGAGTTCGAGCTAGACTTGTTTACTAAATTCTTAGATTGTATTTGATACATTCATTTTGTATGTCGTGTATGGTACATGTGATTGATGCAACGATAAAAAAATAATCAAATGTTCAATATTAATTAATCTTATATTATAATTTGTAAGTGTCATATTGTTTAGTTAATAAATTTTAACTAGTTCAAATCATGTTATTTCATAGTATCGAAACAATTTTGTACATAATTTCTTTATAGAATTAAAAACAAAGCATATTTTCTTACATGTTCGACATGTTAAACTTCCCATGATGTGAGATATAAAATTTAACAATCCTATAAATTATAAAAGTCCAAATTAGATCGATTAGTCCATAAGTCGGTGATCAAGTTGGCCCTCAAACCACAATGTTGAGACATCTCATGAGCTCTCAATGAGCCAACTCACGAGTTGAGCTCAACAAGCCACCGAGTCGAGCAAGCTCGCGAGCTGAACAAAGCTAAGATAAAACTTGGCTCGTCAGTAAACGAATCGAGTTTCGAACAAGTTTGTCCCGATTCGAGCCTCGAGTTGCTCGCGAGTAGCTTGGCTCATTTGCAGCCCTATTTGTTAGGCTTGGTAATAGGTCGGTATCTGTATAACCGGTTACCGATTGACCGGTTTTCGGTAAACCACCGATGCTCAAATCTATTGCCGACAATGGATACCACATAATTTCCGGTGTACCGACTAATCGACTTGCCGGTAACGGTTACCGTTCTAGTAATCCAACAACCGGTAATGCTTCATCTCCTCTTGGCGACTGGAAAAATCTCGAGGCAGAGCAATAGCCCTGACGGCTTTGGCAACTCCGACATCTCTTCCAACGACTCCGACGGCTCCCATGGCGCAAAGGAAAGAAAACGAAGAAGGGAAAGCTAGAGCGGTGAAGGAAGGAGACGACTCGTCGCTGGCGACTGGGGAAGAGGAAGTGTCGATTTGGTGTTGGCCGACTGGGAGATGAGTGAGGGACAGAGGGCCTCGATTTACCCTCATCGTCGTCATAAGTCGTGTGTTTCTTCTTCCCTTCCTCATTGCTTTCGCATGTGTCCGTGTCGGGATTGTTCAGATCGCCGACGAGATAGACGGAAGAGGGATATGGATTTGTTGCATGTGGACGATCCACAGAAGGAGGCATTGATCTGCAAAATTGCGAGGGAGATAGAGAGCCGGATCTGCAAAATTGCACCGTCGACGATTTCTTCAGGCCGTCGTCACTATTCTCGTCAAGCCGCCAGAAATCTCATCACTCTCAGTAAGGATATAGAAATCAGCCCCCATAGCTTGATGAAATTCAACCTTATTAAGAAGATAACCAGAAACAAGATTCTTCCTTAGCTTTGGAGAGTGCAAGACATCTAACAGTTTTAGTGTCTTGCCAGAAGTAAAGTTCAATTCCACATTCTCAGAACTAGAAACTATAGTGGTGTGGGACTGTGGGCACTCCCCAATTTCACTTTCTTATAAGCAATCACCTTAGTGTATGTTTTGAACATAGCACGATTATTGCATACATGCTTCTGAGACACCAGTATCCATCCACCATCTTTCTGAGTTACCGGTGAGGTTAACTACATATGACATCAATGTGAACATAGCCACCAAGATATCTTCTTCAGTCAAGTTAACATTGGGACCAATATTAGGCTTGTTCCTAGACTTTAGTGTCATATGACTTGGTTTCCCGCAATTATAGCATAGAAACATAGTGTCATTCTTACAGGATTGACCCATGGTCTTTTGGTTATCATGAGGGGCACCATTTTGATTGGAGCGGATCTTTTGACTCTGGTTCTTGAAAATCTTCTGATTTTATTACCAGAACCCTACGAGTGGATCGTCTAGCACTAACAACCAACATTTCTTCCTTCATATCCTATTCACGAGCTTCTTCCTCTATCCTTAGACGAGTTATCAAACTTTGCATCAAAATTCTTTGTTTTATGCCTAAGAACATTTTTAAACGATCGTCTAGAGGCCTACCTTCATATGAACAATTATTTGAAGTTCATATGATCGAACATCGACTGAGTTGTCGTTCACCATTTGGTAGCCTAGGTAGCGCTGACAGTGTACTTCTTCGCTCCAATCTCCTCGGTGTCGTACTTAGTCTAAAGAGCATCCCAGGCCATCTTCACAGTGTTTTCTGATTTGTGTAGTAGTCATAAAAGATATTAGCCTCGTCATTGAGAATGTAGTTCTTGCATAGGACATCATCATTTTCTATTTTTTAGCAGTTGTCCTCTCCGCATTGGTCGCTTTTCGACCAGAACGAGTTTCATGGAGGTGAGGCATTTCGCCAGTTTCTTGGTCGTTAGGTAGAACGTTTTTTGCTTCCAGAGGCGTAAATTGGCTCCTTGAAAGCAGACGGGAAATAATAGGATGACTTCCTTAATTAATCACGGTGATCAGTCAGGCTAGCTCAAGATTGAAGTACAACTGATTGATTTGGGGCAGACGAACTTCGCTCAAGCACTCAGGAGCTCACGGTTTAGATTATATGAGTAAAAGTCTTTATTGTGTAGCTTTTCTAGCTTCCTTTGATATGTAGTTGCTCGAGACTGATCAAATACTCATGTAGGCCGCAAGGCCGACCAGTGGGGTGTGTCAGTAGACTCTCCGACACAGCCTCTGAGTATTAGGGGGCCTCCGTCGTAGGTTTGTTAGTTGATACAATTCTATATTATATAATGAATTTGTGTTGTATGATTGATTGATTAGTTCATATTGTTCTCTACAACTCTAGAACATGATGTGGCTATGATGATGCGATTAAATCTGTTAATTAACACTATTGCTAGTTATTGGTCAATATTCTCATAAATATATAAATGATGTATGTATATTCATTGTTAATATCATATATGTGCCCTGAAAATCGAAATTGTGTCATAAAATGACACAAGATCTCTTTAATGGATTTTTTTTTATTAGTTAGGAACCACAACCACACGTGCCAATTTGTGACAGCAAGACCTACTAAACCTGTGGGCCACCTGCAATTAATTAAACGCTAACATGCCTTCGTCCCTAGTAACCTTATACCTTCGGAAATACCGACGGACCTCGCTTGAATTCCAACCTGGGATATGCAACTCACTAGCCTCATGTTATTATATTTTTCAGGGTCAATAGTATTTTATACCCCTCTATTATTGCAAGTTAACAAACGTGCTCCTCTACTAATTTTTTGCACAAAAATACCCCTCTAATATTAAAATGTAACAAATATACCCTTCCATTTAATTATCCGTTAAACAACCGTTAAATATGTTACGAAATGACCCATTTGCCCTCGTTTAGTATTAATTTAATTTTATTATTTCTTAATCACAACCCAATTAAAAATTATATCAACCCCACCCTACTTCCGAAACCCCCAGCCCCCAATCCCATTTCATTTGCCCTCGGAAACACCATCCCATTCCACAATCCTCCGCCATCAAATCCACCGCCACCGTCGAGACTCGAGAGCCCCTCCACCCACCGCAAGTCTCCAACGCGCACTGCTTGTGGCGGCTGCACCCGGCTTTTCCTCACCGGAGGCTCTAGTGGACAGAAGTGGGTGAGACGACTGCGATGATTTCTCTTCGCACAGGCGGAGGTAGAAGAGGTTGCTAAGTGAAATCGACAATTCCATTAGCAACTGAAATCGAGTGGGAAGCTCAGCACACAGGTGGAGGGAGAAGAGGCTGCGGGGTCGGCTCAGTTCGCGGCCTCTGTTTACAGGGAGATATCTCCTGTTGTCTCACCCGATGATGTTCGATGGAGAACACTGGGTGTTTGTTGTCTATCCCCTCTAGCCGCTGCCGTCTCCCTCAATGCTTTTCGCCGGTTTCCTCTATGGCGGGTGCGGCCGCCGTAAGCAAGGAGCGCCGGAGTCTATCGGTGGGGGAGGGGCTTTCGACGGTGGCGGATGATTGAGTACGAATGGATGGAATTCGAAGGGCTTCCGCAATCAAGGATGCGATTAAAATTATTTTTAACTGGGACGTGGGGTGCGTTGGCAACCGAGAAATTGAAAAGAGACTGTGGAATCAACGATGGTGTGGATGGATTGGCGGCTATGATGCGACGGGGGTGTAGGATTTGTTGATTAGGGTTAGCAAGGTGACGACAGGGGTGGGGGTAGTCGATAGGATTGGGGAAAGAATAATAAGTTTTCTAATAATTATAGAATAAGTATAAATAGAGGGCAATATGGTCATATCGGATACCTTTAACAGCCCACTAACAGAAATTGTAACAAAAGGGTAAGTTTGTTATATTGCGATAATACAAGGGTATGAAAGTGCAAAATTATAGAAGAGGGACATGTTTGTTAACTTGCAATAATAGAGGGGTATAAAATGCTATTAATCCTATTTTTCATGTTATTATATTTCAAATAATTGGACATCTCAATCCCGCACTGAAAAAAATTCACACCCAGGGTCTTGAATCTTGAGCCTTCCTGCTAAAAACAGCTAAAGCGGAAACACAGGCACTCCAGCCTTCTCCAGTCTCCACCTAATTATCAACAGTCGCAGTGAATGGTCTGGACTGAACCTCCAAGTCCCGCTTCGTTCACCAACCAACGAACACTGCTCCATCTGCCCCCACACCGTCACACTTGTCCCGCTGCCGGAAATTCCACACATTCCTTCATTCTGATCTCTGTATCTACTCATTTATTTATTCATTCATTCAGTAACAGTAGATTAAGACGTGCTTGATTTCTTATGCGTTAATTTTGATTGACTGACAGGGAAGATTTTCTTGCGCTAATTTTTGTTCCAGTAGATAGGTGTAGGACTGTAGGTTAGTGGTCCTGCTGGCGGGGGATAGGGGGAGAAAAAGGGAGGCCAGGGCAGGGCCATGGCAGTTCCACTTCACTTTTAAAGGAAGGATTTTCCCCTCAATTCATTGTGTAACTGACGCCTCCATTCCACAGTTTCTTTCTTCCCATGCCCTCCGCCGATAGCGAAAGCGTTAGACCAGAGAGACAGGTGTTTCTTGTTCACCTGTTCACGTCGCCGATTTGGTTGGCAGACTGAGTGATCTGTAAGCAAAAGACCGCTCCTACCGATCACCCTCAAAATCCACCCACAAAAAGATCGAAAGCGAAACCCTGCTCTGTTTTGGCGCAATTGCAAGGATTCTCCCTTTCCTTTCCTTTCCTTTCCTTTCCTTTCCTTCCTCCTCCTTTTGTTGTTGTTTCCTGAGAGGGGAGAGTGAAAACTGAAGAGGGTTCTGCCACAAATCTTGGATGAACAAGTATGCAATGAGCGGCGGCGGAATCGTCGGACATGGAGCGCCGGAGCTGGCTATGGAGAAGGAAGTCCTCCCCAACTCTGCCCCCAGATTTCTCTGACGCCGGCTCGCTTGGGTCGCTCTCTGAACGCTTCTCCGATGATCATCATCAGGTAACCACCACCACCACCACAAACCCTCTTTTCATCTTTTCCGTTTTTATCCATTGCTTTGTCTCAATCCTTCCTTTTTCTCTGTTTTGTCCTCTTTCCTGCTCTGTTCTGGTTGGCGATTTTTGGGATGATAATAATAATGGCTGAATTGCTAAATTCGGGAAACGCCAAACAACCACCCACCAAACAAACAGGCATCGTATTCGTCAACTCCAACTCGAACACCCACTCGTCGTTCTTCTGCTGCTGCTGCTGCTCCTGCTCAATCGGACGTTCCTGATGAACAAGTGGATAATTATGATGGCGATCTCAAGGCGCTCAGAGACAAACTTTCTGCTGCTCTTCTCAACCTTAGGGCCAAGGACGATTTGGTCACTCAGCATGCCAAAGTCGCTGAAGAGGCTGTCTCTGGTCTGTCATTTCTTCCTTCTCCCCCATTCTTCAATTTGATTTTGATCCCTAGTTTTATGTACACAGATTGCATTCAATTTCCTTACCTTTGGCTTTGATGGGTTTTTCATTCCATTTTCTTAAATTTCTTCTGTGGTTAAGCATCTGCAGATTTAATACATGTGCATATCTGCATCATGTTTCCATTAACAACTTTTTCCACCAGAAAAATGAACATTACATATTGATTTGCATAATAAATGGTTTGTTGTCAGTAAACAAATAATTTAATTGCATGAAGGATGCGATTTGTATAAGAGAGGCTGCTTATTGGGTTCATCTTGGTTGCTTGGCATATCATGCTTCAATTTGTTGGAACATGTTCTTCATTAAATTTCACTCATATGGTATTTACTTATTTACTTCCCATGTGTTTGCATCCTGTTTTATTAACCCAAAAGCTAATCTTTTTTCCTGAAGGGTGGGAGAAAGCTGAGAAGGAAGTGGTTAATTTAAAGCAGCAACTGGAGAATACAACTAAGAAGAACACAGGACTCGAGGATCGAGTTGGTCATCTCGATGCAGCGCTCAAAGAATGCATGAGGCAACTACGTTTAGCAAGAGAGGATCAAGAACGAAGGATATCTGAGGCTCTTGCAAACACCACTCGTGAATGGGAGTCCACGAAGTCCGAGCTCGATTCCCAGATCTCTCAACTGCAACATGAACTTCAGGCTGCCAAGGGTGAGGCAGCTGCTACAACATCGTCACTCGATTCCGAGTTTCGAGCTAAGATGGAGAGTTTAGAGAAAGAGAACTCTTCCCTCAAGCTGACACTTCTCTCTCGAGCTGAGGAATTGGAGATGAAGATTATGGAAAGAGACCTCAGCTGTCAAGCTGCTGAAACTGCTAGCAAACAGCAATTGGATGCCATTAAGAAAGTAGCTAGGCTTGAAGCTGAGTGCCGCAGGATGAAGGCTATGGCGGCTCGAAAGGCTTCTCCTTCATCAATCTATGTCGAGTCCTTCACCGAAGACAGCCAGTCGGATAGTGGTGAGAGGCTACTAGAGATGGTGGAGTGTGACTCACAGAAAGTGAATGGCTTGGAAATGAATGAACTCGAGCCAAGTTCTTCAGGTTCATGGGAGCCTGATGGTTTCAAAAATCGGAAAAGTACTGGAAGAAACCAGCTCATGCTGTTGCCTTCTCCAGAGATCAATCTCATGGATGATTTTCTGGAGATGGAAAGACTTGCTGCTTTGGCTGACACGGATAGTGGTGGAAGCTCTTTTCATGAGGCAGGCGGACCAGTATCCGAACGAAGCAACAGCATTGAGAGTCAATGGAGAGCTGAACATGCGGCCGTGATTAATCAGAAGACTACTGATCTAGAGGAAAAGTTGGAAAAGGTTGAAGGCGAAAAGGTCAAGTTGGAGTCTGCTTTGAATGAGTGCCAGAGTCAGCTAGCCATCTTAAAAACTCAGCTGAAGGAAGCGAATGAGAAGTTCTCGGTACTTCAAGCTGAGTTAGCTCATTCGAATGAGACAACAAAAGCCAGAGAAGAGGAGCTTAAGGGTGTTCTGGTGATGAAAGAAGTTGCAGAGTCACAGCTTAGAACTTCTGAGGAGGAGATTGGAACCTTGCTTTCTAAAGTTGATTCATTAACAGCAGAGGTTGAAAAGGGGCATGCTTCAGCAGCTGACAATGAAAAGAAGTGTCTCGACTTGGAGAACAAGCTTCACGAAATGAAACTTGAATCTGAACTCCTTCAAAAAGCTGACCTCAAGCGGATTACAAGCTTTAATGAAGAGTTGAAGGTAAAACAGGTTAGTTTCCACTTATCTTCACTCCTAGCACATTTTCGTGCAGTCAAACTAATAGTTATGTCGTCTGTTTCACAACAAACCCTCCAATGCATTAACCTACTGGGTCATCATCATCTACACCTTTTCACATGCATAAGAGCTGATTTTTGTGGAACTAGATAAGCAATCATGGAAAGAACAGAGCCTCTGCTTTTCCACTCACAAAATATGTCGTCTAGTCCTTTTTTGGATGATTGCCAGCAAGACTGTGGAAGCAGGGCTTCATAGGTTGGTCCATTTGGGCCAACTCTTAGCTGATACATAGCTAGTTCTATCCGACCCATATTGTCTTATAGCAATCAGTAAATCACGTGAAGGCTGGATCGCTTCACCTAGAACCTCAATCAACTTGGTTCCATATACTCTGCGAATAATTGTTAGCCCACCACTCTACTTGTCCTGGAGTCACGCAGAATTTGCTTCAATACTACATTCCCAGCTTTAGCTTAGATGGTTTTCTGGTACAATATATAATGTATTTATGCTATAGAAACTGATGTTGTTTGGTGTTGGATGGCAGGAGAGAGAGCTAGCAGCTGCAGCTGCTAAGTTTGCAGAGTGCAAGAAGACAATCTCATCTCTGGGTCTTCAGCTAAAGTCTCTTGCAACTATGGAAGAAGACTTGCTAGTTATGTAGTGCAGTGCAGGATTCCAAAATGTCGAATAACGAAACAGAGATTGTTTTGGTCGCGGGGTAGTGAAAATTCGAGGGTGAGATGGAGATTTGCATGAGGGAGAGATGGAAATTGCATGGCGTTGGATATTTGCAGCTTGGTATTGCACATACAGAGCTAATAGGTTAGCATGTAAATGTTGGTATTGGATTTGGTGGTTATGACAATAATAAAACGAAAGCGAGAAAGCAAAAAAAATGGGATGGCATTTTGGCATTGCTACCAATTCTGGGTTTTCTTCTTTCCCATGTGTAAAGTCATCTTCCCCTTCATAAAGAATTACTGCAGTAATATCTTCTGCTGCTAATGGTGATGGTTTCAGACTTTCAGTTAGCATATGAAGATATGGGAAACTGGAAAGAAGAAGTCGTGTACAGTTGTTGGATGTCGGGATTGATGTGACTGTTATCCAACAACAGGTGAAGAAAAATGAAAATGGGGAGTGGGCAGAGAACATGAGTTGGAGGTCACTTGAGGAGGTTAGAAAGCAAAGAGAGGAGAGAGCATGTGAATGTGATGTCAATGGTTAGGCGACCTATGACCTACACAAGTACAGGCGAGGCGACAACAGAAGATAAAAGAAGAGAACATTCACATGATGAGCAGATGCAGATGGGCACTAGCTAATATGATCATCCAACCGTTGTGCTTCCATATGCAGCAAAAAAAAGCAGAAGAAATGGGTACATTTTCACTAACTTTACCATTCCAAACTCTGTCTGCATGCCAAATAATGCACAGCATATGATCATATCTCAATAATTGAGAATCAAAGGAGCAAAAAACATGAGCTTTATTTTTTCTTCTTCTTTCCTTGCTAATTTGGTGTTGTAGCTCAAGGAAGCGCGACGATACATTGAACAAGGTTTCATTTTCGAACAATCCGCCGCGAGTTTTATTTGAGAAAGAAAGAAAAATCTATCAACAGAGACAGACCACTCACTGCTGCAGTACTACTCTGTATGTATTACTACCGATTAAGCTCTGCTTTTCACTTTTTATTATTTTCTCGTTTGTGCATGATTGTCGCTGAACTACTACAACTAATGAAATGATGTTCTAGCAGGCCATTTCCTCTTATTTCATCCCAACCCAACTGCATCTGCATGCGCTTATATATTACTTCTCTCCATTGTTTCCCCCCCCTTTGTTCTTGATGGTATAGCTATTTGTGGAGCAAATCGTAGAAAGCCTCTGGCTTTTTGTATCCTTGGTTGCACAGGCCCTGTGATGAAAGAATAAAACGACACCATCAGCTGTGTAATCAACCAATTCTGAGAAACAGGAATGTGAGAGCGTGATGAGAGCAGACCTGCATGGCGAATGCAACGTGGAGGAGAGTTGGTTCGGACCACGGCTGGCCTATGAACTGAAGCCCAATTGGCAGCCCTTTCTTATCATATCCCACCTGCAACCGCACCACGCCATGAAACAACATGAATTCATGGATCAAACGATGAGAAGATATACATGGCAATTAACATGAGGAGTCCGACTTACAGGGACAGTAATTGCAGGTAATCCCAAGAAATTCCCAGCTATTTGGTACCGAACAAGCGCAGCTCCATTGACGTAATCTAGTTCGCCAGTCTTGAGGCAGTCGTTCAATATTGGATAAGCTGTCACTCTATACAAAAACAACCACCCCCAATGCAGTCAAATGCGAGCGTTTCTACGTAGAAACGTTTTGGTGATCTAGAAGCGTAAAATTCGTAAGTTTTTTTTTTAAGTTTTAAAGCGGAGTTTTTAACTAAATTAAGTTGTAAAAACTGAGATTTTGTGCAGAAGCGTTTTAGTGACCTGGAAACGTAAAATCGTAAGTTTTTTTAAGTTTTAAAACGCGATTTTGACTACCTTGCAACCACCCATCCAATTCTACCATCATTAGATTAGATGAAGAAGAGGAAGAAGAATACCCTGTGGTTGGTGAAACGATCACATCCGCCATTGCAAACACCTTCCTGTGGATCTCTAGTTGCCGGTTCCTGCACCATGCATTACTTAATTAGATGGAAAATAATGTAACTAATTGAGCTGATAGTTAATGATGAATATAATTCAAATACCTTAGCCTTTGAGCCTGGATGTACTCTTTACTGCTGAAAGCGCCATAAACAGAGAGGCCCACCCTCACATCCCACCCCATCTTTCCCACTTTCCTGCACCATTCATATACACGAATGATTTTTTTTTTTTTTTTGCTTCATTCAATTTCGAATTAGGGCACATTAATTCATATGCATGTAATTAAGTCAAGCAAAGTACATAATTGATTACTTGGAGTTGTGGAGGTGAGGGCCAAGCGCGGTACTGCATTCCGATCCTATCGTTACGTAATGTGCCAACCGCATCGTTTCTATTTCTGGTATGACCACCTCCACCGTCTTCCACCCGTATTTCTGCGAGAGGAGATCCAGCGCGTGGGAACAACACTCCCTGATCTCCTCTGTGCAATCATTGAACCACTGTTCCATCCATTAATCCAACGAAACATCAAGAGCACAAGTCATTGTTAATTACAGAGTCGTCCAGGAAAACAAATTAACATAAAGATGTAGCACGTAGTTCTTACCTCTTTATATCTTGCTAGTTTAATATTTGTGACTGAACTTGTTGATTCCAGCAGTGGAAGATATAGTTTTGGCTGCAAGAGAGATCCAATTCCCATGCAATGCATGCACCACAAGAAAGAAATCATAGCTAGTTACGTACGGTTTAATTAAAAATTGGAAAGATTCAGGGGTCGTTTGGATGAGGAATTGTAACGGATCAATTTGACACAATTGTCTCGTTTTGAGACAATTGTACCAAATTGCCTTGTTTGCCAGCAAAAAATTTGGATGGATCAATCTGCTTAAGGTATTTTGAATTGATCTGTTTTGAGTCAATTTCAATTACCTGGGGTGGAGGCAGGTAATTCGAATTGACTCTTTTTAATTGCATCGTTTATAAAACAAGATAATTGTTCAAATTGACTCATTTCTAGATTGATCCATCCAAACGACCCCTTTCGTGCCCTAGACTTCTTCCGGGTGCAGTTCGTGTGGGCCTGAAGCCCACGATTGTTTGAACTGAAATAATTGGGCCATCAAAACCTTTTTTACTTTTTCATAAACCGAGGGCGGCCTGGGTCTGGATATGAGTTTTGATTGGGCCCGTAGCGGCAAGACAAGAATGCGGTCCAGTAGATCGATAGACTTCGTACCTTTGTAGGATTCGGCTTCTTGTTATTCTTCATCTCCGAAGTTTTTTGTGTGTCTCCGCTAATGGCTGCGTAGCTGCATGCAATGCAACAATATTGTCATCCAGCAAACTAAACAAGCTTTTTTTTTTTTTTCGAAAAGATACTTGCATTAACAAGACAAAAAAAGTTACATCAAACCTATTTCCGAGCACAACCACGCCCGAAAATCAAAACCAACACTTCCCGTAGGAAACAAATGAAAAAAAACCCAAATATATTTGTATATAAATAATTAATCAAATAAACAGTAGAGTCAAAGAATATGTATGTATGTATGTAGATAGAGGGCTCACACAATCAATGAATCCTCGACTGTGCCTGCCAATACACCCACCATCCCTACTGTCCAGTTTAAAGGAAGAACACTGCATACAGGATAATACCCAAAAACCCACATTATCCAAAATTAAAAAAGGAACAATCGTCGAACTTAATTATAACAAAGGAATAATCATCAAACTTGGTCCGATAAGACCATCTTTAGTGGTGGGCTGGAATTCCAAAAAATTGGACCAGACTCACTTTAGTAAAGTTTCAAAAAGTCAAAAGTTCCAATTGATGAAAAAATTGGGTCAAATTTTGGCACAGAAAAAGACAAAAGTTCCAAAAGAGAGTGTGGTCACATGGGGGAAAAGCAGACGGGCCCACCTGTCAAAAAGAGCTTTAATAATAATAAAAAAAAAATTTACTTTACCTTTTAGCACCCACAATCTCCTCCAACGGCTCTTTCGGTCCAAACAAGAGAGCGTCATTAATTAAGTCATATTTACAAATAAATTTTTTTGGTCAGAATTAAAAAAAAAATTATCGAAATGTTCGTCTTAATTAATTATTACTACGTATATAAATTTAATAAACAAATTTTATAATTAGAATGATGAAATATATACAAAACTGGATTATGAGTTAAAGCGTAAATCTTGAAATTTGGACTTTTGGAACACGCTACTAATGCCAAAACACCTTTTAAGGGGCTAGAATTTGAATTATAACCTCAAATTTTGGACATTAGATCTAATCACTAAAGATGATCTAATAATGTGTGTGAAAATGTGCGCAATTATATTCAGACACGAGAGTTAATATATATATATATACCCGGAGTGTGGTACGCGGCCAAAGGTGGGTTTGAAACCAACAACGCCACACAGTGCTGCAGGCATTCTTACAGATCCTACATTAATTACACATACATATATATCAACATTATCGATCCCACAAACGTACGTTAATTAATATATATAATCAGTTAATTAAGTTAATTAATAATGTAAAAATGAGGTAACGTAAAAAAGTATACCTCCACCATCAACACCTAGGGCGGCAGGGCAAAGGCCCGCAGCCACCACTGCCGCCGATCCGCTGGATGAACCTCCAGCAATCTTCCCTACATCGAACGGATTTCTAGTAGCCCTGCAATTTATTCATTACCATTAATTAATTACCTCATAATCGTACAACTCAACAGCAACAAATACATCGAGCACTTCTACTCTGCTATATAGCATTAGTGTTTTAATGTACAACTTGAAATTGTACCATAACATAAAATGTATAAGTTTAGGTTGTACCATAAAGAAATTTGTATCATTATGTTATGGTACAACTCCAAAGTTGTACCATCACATAAAAGTACAAGTTCAAGTTGTACTATAAAAGAATTTGTACAAAAAGTATAGGTACAATATGAAGTTGTACCATAACGTTAAATGTACAATTTCAAATTGTACCATAAAGGCAAAAACCTATAGCACCAATGTTATATAACATTGTAAAATTCCTCCAAATACGTACATAACTATCGATCAAGCCATAGTAACTTCAGATATATGATAATATTAGGACAATATGTATATTCTGTACGTAGGGCTGTCCATTTGGTTTTGGTTTTAACCGGAACCAAATCAATTGGAAAGCTAATGGTTTCGGTTTTTTGGTTTTAAACTAATAAGCAACTTAATGGTTTTGGTTTGGTTAAAACCGAAAAACCAATAGAAACCATTAAGAAACCAATAAGAATAAAATTATTTATCAACAAATTTTTTTTTTGTTTCTTTTGACACGCATGCCAACCAATAATTTGTTTTGGCCATTTACCATTATTATGACGTTTATTCAATAAAAAGAAGGGAAATATGAATAAATATGAGTGTATGAGTACATGTTGGTTTTTCGGTTATCCAAACCAAAACCATTAAGGCCCTTATTGGTTTTTGGCAACCAAAAACCAATAAGGAACTTAATGGTTTTGGTTTTGGTTTTTGGGATTTGGTTTTTGATTTTTGGTTTTTCATACTTAATGGTTTGATTAACCAAACCAAACCAAATTGACAGTACGTACCCATAATGAGGATTAATGCCACTGGTCCCAGCTCCAAGCTCGTGCATGTTAGTTTTGCCAACGAGAATCGCCCCACATTGCCTCAGCCTCGCTACACATTCCGCGTCACCTTCACTTGCTCTTGCTTTGTGTAGCCACTTTGTTCCTCCTATTTCGTTATAATGCATCATAGTTTGTCAATTACATTAATCACCATTACTGATCATATATATATATATCCCGGTAATTAATTATTCACCAGTTGTGGGATAGGGAGCACAGTCAATCTCATCTTTGACGGCAATGGGGACACCATCGAGAACTGATATTGCCTCTCCTATCAAACAAAACAAAACAAAAAACACAATTAATTTTTTTTCTCTTATGAAGAATTCATGTTGGCAACCTCGTTATCATAATATGTACAAATTTAAGTCAGTGATAAACGTACGTACCTCTTTCATATCGAAGAGTTGATTCCGAGGCTTGTTTGAGGATGTCTTTTGGACAGTGATTGATAAAGAATCCCATATCCCATGGCGCAGTCGAACTTTCTTCAATGGCTGCTATTAACCTTTCTGCCACCTATACACGCATTTTCTCACAACAATTAATCGCCACCCGACCACAAAAAAACTAAATCAAATTCTTAGACGTACTTTTATGTATTTCGACGAATCAAAATTTTTATATTCTTTTTTATTAAACTGATCTTATGGATTTGGGTATAAAATTAGGGATTGCACTCAATTATCTTAGTGGGTAGGCCTTATACGTAAGGATGAATTAATTACCATGGTGGGAGTAATCTGTCGAGTAGTATAGGCGTTATAGTAGTCCATGACGGTCCACCGATGGAAACCAGGTGAAGTAGTAGTGGAGCAATTTGGTGATGACAAAGGCAGCAGGCAATTCTCAACTGCTTGTTGGACCTGACTTGCTGGATCTGATGATGGCTCAATTTGCTTCACTTCTTGCTCCTCCAACTCTGAGTAAACATATATTAAGACTTGGAAGATCAAGAGATATACGTGTCAAGAATCAGTTGATCTCAATAACTCGAGTTGTTGGGAAAGATTCAATCGTGGATCATATATCATTCACTAACACACTCCCTCAAACGAAAGCCAGTCACCTCATAAGGGCTTTCGTTTGCACAGGTCTGATATACGATACCATGTGCTTCACAAACGGGGGTCACCAGGATTCGAACACAAGACATTTCGGTCATATAAGGCTCTGATACCATGTCAAGAACCAGTTGATCCCAATAACTCGAGTTGTTGGGAAAGATTCAATCGTGAATCATATACCATTCACTAACAATACGGTAATTCATTAAGCACTAGATATCAGGAGGTGATAAAAAGGGAAAGGAAGGTAACCTTGAAAAGGATGCAGAGGGACATAAAGAGGCGACTCTTCCAGCTCTGCATTTGTCACAAGCTAACCACGGAATGCGATAAAGTACGTGTTAGTTTAACGTACGTACATACATACATACACGTCAACATGATAGCATGTTGTCGTGCACAAAATGTACGTATCTAAATATATACATGTGTACATATTTATTAGTGTTTTGGATATTTGATGATGTGCACATCTGTCACAATATCGATTTAGGACCAAGGAGAAATGAGTTACATGCAATATTGAACAAGTCATGTTGAGATGTGAGGTATTTGTTTTGGACATGGATGAATTTAATAACTAACAATTCTAGATTTTCTATTTTATTAATTTGGATTCATAATAATTTATATATAACAGAGAGAGACATGATGGAAGCAGCTTCCGGAGAGAGTTGATGGAGGATGTGAGGCCTAATTTGGCTCTTTGCCAATTGTTGATTTTCATTATGAAGCTCTCATGTTTAAATTTCAAGGTGAGCCTCCCTTCCTCACAAATATGAAATATCTCTTCAATACCATGTAAAAGTTTCGTGCTTTATATCTTTTTTTACTAGTCTCTAGAGATATATGGATTAATTGCAGGGATGAGATCGGATCGAGTTGGAAACAGGCAGTGAATATTCACATTTCTATATAAAATAGTTTGGGATTTACTCATTCAAATACTAACACGAGAATCATATAGAATGTCAAAATCATACTCATACTCTCGGATTTTTTGGTATCTACGGTTATTCATGGATAATAATTTTTGTTTATAACTTCAACCAACATGTTAATAGTTACATGTATACATTATATAAGCTAAGTGAAAAAAAAAATACTATAACATAAATGAATTTAAAACAACAAAATTCATGAAAATATTATTGTGTATATTAAATATAAAATATGTTGAGAAAAATAATGATCATTCTAAAGAAAACACATATACATGTGTATAATATAATTGGACAGATTAGGTTGGATTGTGTGAAAATTATGTTCACTCATCACCTGAAATATTCGAGTTCGAATTTTATCCATACTCATAAAAAATCATTTGAATTCAAATTTTGCTCTATTAGATTAGACCCGATTCGACCAGGTACATCATGTTATTTTTGTCATCGCTAGTAAATGTGAAAGAACTCCAAGTACAGTTTACATTAACGTGGTTGGTCTAAATATTTTTTTTCTTTCTCGGGTACATAATACATATAGGGTTTGGCACAATTTGGTGTAAATAATTTTGGCCAACTTTGTAGTCTGCAAAATTATGGTACTATGGCTAATAAGTTTCTTTGTGGTGAAAGATTTGGACACACATGCTAGAGGAAAGCCACTATTATTGCATAAAATTATAATAATTCATAAATTTGTATGAATGAGTCTAACCGTAATGTTGTCCATATCTATTGTTAGAGGTTAGACAGCGACTACTACCTAAATGCATACAAATGTTAATAAATAGCGCAATTAATGGAGACTCCCAACAACAGTGACACACTGCTAAACCACTTCACATTCCATCCCCCAAAATCACAGAATTGGATCATTTTGGCAAATTTCTAGTCAGCCTCCAAAATACATCTCTTCTTCAATATATCGTTTTTGCACTCTTATCGTAATGTTTTCTATGAATATCATGTCTTTTCGCATCTCATGTATTAATCTCACGATACATGTTCGTTTATACCGTCAGTATTCAACAATTCATCTACTTAAACGAGATCTAATATCACAATATGTTCCAGACGAAACGCTAGAGTTTTTAACATTATATGAATTCTTGTGATCACACTTCAAAAATATGAGCCATCATCGGTGACGTAGCAAAAGATTGAGGACCCCACTTGGGAACACAACAGAGCAAAAGATTCATTAGATACATAAGATTTATTAACGATCCTTCAAATTTATGACTCCTATACTCTCGACATTGCTAGTTATACGTAACCATCCCAATCAACTCAAAAAGTCCATCAAATGCATAGGTTTCAGAATCAATCATTTCTGAAGGACTTCCGTCATCAACTCATAATCTGGCCACACCACTGACTATCATCCATTCTCATTAAATTGTATGCTTTACAAACTAACCCATATTAATTAGAAGGTGAAAAAAAAGTTTAATTAAATTTGGGGGTTAGGTGCGTGTACCTTGTGGATGAGATTGTTTCTCTTGAGGAGGTAAAGCAGCAAGGCGCCCAAAATCCGTGACTCCAGAAACCACGCGAACACTTTCACCACCACTCCGCCCATCCGCGGAGCTGTAATTCATTCATTCATTCATTAATCATTCAAAATAATCACAATTAATTTATCACTATATAGCTACCTAATTACGGATGTAAAATTACTAAGACAAAAGGAGGCGTGCTTGCCTAATCGTGATTAGTAAAAGAAAAGAGGAGAACTAAGCAGAGCAGCAGACCTTTGACATCGGGATGGAGATAAGATTGATCTTCTTCTTCGCCGTCGTCGTCGGAATTCGCCGGAAGACGACGACGAGCCACGTCGATGCTACTCGCCGCCTTGTAAACCACTCGGTTCGCTTTGAACGCTCCTCCCATGAGGACAATTAGGCGTAATCAGCAGTACTTGATCTCTGTTGTTTTTGCGCGGTACAGATGATTAGGCTGCTAATTAAGGAAGTACTGGATCAGGCAGGCCAGAAGAAGAAGGAGAATGAAGGAGGAGGAGGAGAAGGGAAGGGAGAAAACGAAAGGAAAAGGTTAATTAAAGCAGGTTGTAACGTACGTCATGCAGCCAAACCAAATGAAATGGGGGATCTGGTCAGTAAATTTAGATAGACTGGGCGCTCTGTACGTATTTAATGACGGATCTGGCCAAAACCCCACTCGCCAACGCCAAAACATAACTCCACATCCTATGACCTAGCTAGCTAGCCAACGCCAAGGAAAATGTTTGACATGGATGGATAGCTTATGGAATACCAATTATTCGGCGGAGCCTACCATGCATGTGATCCAATTGACTAAGTTTGTGTAAAGAACCAGGCATATACCACAACACTAACACGCCCCCTCAAACGAAAGCCACTCACAAGGGTTGAAGTTTGCACAGGTCTGAAGACAAGAATACCATGTGCTTAACAAATGGGGGTCACCGGGAATCGAACACGAGACCTTTCGGTCACAAAAGGCTCTGATACCATGTCAAGAACCAGTTGATCCCAATAACTCGAGTTGTTGGGAGAGGTTCAATCGTGGATCATATACCACAACACTAACAGTTTGCAACTTTGCATTGTATGAATTGTTTGCTTTATTACATTCTGGATCATACGCACCTCGAGGAGCTGAACTACCGCGCTTTGACGAGGAAAATACTAGATTGTTGACTTGTATGGCTTGTTTAATTTTTAGTCCGGAGACACACTCTTTTGACAAAGAGAAGCTTATAGGCTCTTGCTCTTGATTTTATTCTGACTAGTATTTTGAGAATTATTATCATAATCTCCCGAATGATGAGTTATTTTTTTCGATTAAAAAGAAATTGATGAATTAATTTAGTTAATGGTGAAAGGAAAAGTGAATCCATCATATACATTGATCTAATTTGTTTCTCAAACTTGTATTGATTTTAGCCGTTGCAACTTGTAACTGAGCTTTTTCAGCTTTGGGCTACATGGGGAAAATTTTTCGAAATCGTGTAAGCGATTAGTTCATCAATGACTTCAAGTGGGATATATTGAAAGATATCTATTAAGCATTATAGACACCGTCACACCGAGTATATTTAAAAAGAAATAAAAATAGAATATGAAAACACGTGTTTTTTTTTCCTTGTAACTTGTAGATGTTTTGTTGTTACTTGTCATAAATCATTGTTTCATGGATACGGACCACCATTTCACGAAACAATGCAGGAATTTGACCCTATAAATATATATATGTGGGGCGGATTATGCAACATACCATCAAAATCGTTCTTCTTTCTTCCTAAAAACTTCTAAATTTGTTTTAGCAATCTTAAGTCTATAACGTAAAATAGTGATAGTTTTGTTCTCTGTATTTTTTTTTTTTTTGTAATCAAGATTTTTATAAAGGGTAAAAATATAATTTAGGAAAGTGAACATGGTTCACGATTCCATCTCAAACCTAGTCTTCTAGTTTCGCGCTATCATTCCAACACGAATTTTCACCCTAAGCATTGTACCACTAGAAAGAATGCAGCTGTCTCATAGCTTAACTTCATTGGCATTGGCTGGCTTTGAATGTAGTAGTAGTACAACAATATTATTGGTAGCTAGGTTATTAATTGGCCGCCGAAAGAAAGCATAAGCATATATAAGTGCGATCGAACGAGAGATCCATTTTGTTCTCATCGTGTAGTTCATTTATGTATCGAGGTGGGGGATCGAATATAAACTTCGGCGATTTCTCTGGCGAACTGGCCGCTGGCATTCGATTCCTTTCCAAAATGATAGCTTCCGGGTATCCAGGAGCACTGGAATGACCAAATTTCGGCAATACCAAAAATTTTGGGTATTTTTGATGAAAACGATGGCGGCTATATAGAATATTTTGATGCCTGCCGGTATGGATTTGGATAATATGAACTAATCAGGTTGTTGAATAAAAGAAGTGATCTTGTATTTGGAGATTTGCCAACATGTAATCGAAGACACGTACGGGGTCATATTGATGAATTGTTTTGCTCACCAGTCACCATTATGAATTTCGATATATTATAGTAGATGGTCGATCCGGTGTAAATTGTTATCTTTATTATGTAATATTTTAGTATTCTAAGTGTAACTAGCTTTTACCCGACCCGTTGGTCGGATTAATTTCATTTAATTTGCTATAATTTATGTTAATCAATTGATTCATATATTTAAATGATTCACTCTTTTAAATAACTTATATATAATTTGAAAGTAATTTTTGTGATGATTATTGTTTGAGACATTTCATATAATTAGTTTATAAATACTTTTTTGTACATAAGATCATCATAACATACAAATTTATATATATTGTTCATATTTAAGAAGAGAATTTTTCCACTTTTTATTATCCACATAAATAACTTAAGAATGATAATTTGATGAAATTCAGTATTATTAACATATTAAACTTACGTGGCAAGCACAAAAAATAGGCAGCAAACGCTGAAAACCTATGGAACATGCCAAATTTCTAGCTACTGAAAGCAAGTTTTGGATTATTGTTTGCAACTTTCAAGTTCTTTGACCATTTAACCTTGTTAATTGTTCATAAGGAGAAGTTGTAACACACTTTGGTTGAAATCATAACTAACCAAGACCAAACTTATATATAACAGGATGGTAAAAAAGAATATGGGAAATTCCAAAGAATTAAGCACCCTGCTAAGTCTGACTGCCTAAGAGATTGATAGAGTAGGAAGTGCTAGAAGCACTTTTAATTTTCTGAAATGGTGACATTTATTCAATCTAATATGTTGAAGGCTTTAATTACAAACTAAAGACACCCTTTAAGTTGGGGCCAAAACAGTAGAGCTCGATGGAAATAAGAAAGATTATGATTATATGATTATACATACTGCAAGCTCCCTTCTTTATGGACCAAAATAGTTGTTGTTTTCAGACATTTAAATGAAGCACCTGCAGAAAATTCTCTTGCTCAATCATCTGTATACAACCTTGTTTCTATACGGCTTTCATGGAAAAATCTGTTGACATAATACATGTATATGCCTGTAATCAGTACCATGCTTATCCAGATGGTCAAAGCTTCATTTCGGTTTCCAATCCACCTGAGTCCGTGTTACATTTATGGTTCTTATTCCCAAGTGATGCAGCACCTTAGTTGTTTGCTGTTGGTCTGCACGATCTCTAATTCACCATGATATCAGAATCCTCATGTAAGCATTGAAAGTCTCCTTCATACTGCTGTAAGCAGGGCGCATCAATGACAGACCTTCCGCTTCGATTTTGACGAACCCACCGACTGATCAACCACATAAATTCCTAGGGACCATGGCATAACATCTTACAACAAATCGATAGTCGTCTACAAACACTGTAATCCAAAAACTCACAATGGACAAAATGAAACTATATGCAATTAAACAAAAGAGAACAAATCAAATTTAATACCCTAACTCTATAAGAATATAGAGCAACCCAGTAGGTAGAGGTCAAATTTCCATATGAAGAAAAAAGCTTTTGAACAATAAAAGTGAGATTGTGTGAAATAATGAAACCAGAATACGCAACATATAATAACTTCCTCAAACTCAATTGTTTGCGTTAGCCAGGTAACTTGTGAGAACTATGTTTTGCTACCAAACAAACACATTCCCCATGGTTCCAAAACAGACCAAATGTTCTAGAAAAATATCATCGAAAAAAAGAACTCAGTTTATTATTTGTTCTATATTCCATTCAAGTACCAAGAAGGACAAAGAGAAAAGATATTAAAACGTAAACCAGGTTACCTAACAAACTTGTCCCTTTGACCAAGCAGGTACCAGGTCTTTACCCAATCTTACATCTTGGGAGCTGTATACATCACATGCAAGTTAGTAAGAAATAGATTTCGATTAACTCATGACCCAAAATTGTGGATTCTATCCTCCTTTCTTATCCCAATTTCACATCCAAACTTTAAAGTGGTTGATACTATCATGTCTAGTGCTGGCGCAAAGCATATAACCAACAACTTCACTATAAAGCCAAGCACACATTACTTGAGAAAATTTGAGCTGAAAACAAAGCTATTCAGCAAACATATCTACATGACATAAATAACTAACTGCAGGTTTTATCTAAACACAATCCGCCCTAGATAAGTTTGACTCCTATGATCGTGTTTTTGGGATTCCTTACCAAAATGTGCTCGCACTACCATTTCTTCAAAACACCACAGCGAATCGCAGCACTACCAGTCATGCATATTCTCTTTCTAATTTCGACTTCGGTACATGTTTAGAGCAAAATTTTAGTATCAAGGATTCTCCTGTTGGAATAATTAACACTGAAAGGCTTGTAATTGCATATTCCTAGCTAAGTCTTTGAAAATAATTACGTGGACAATGAACGAAGGTGAAAGAACCAAAATCAAAACTTGTGCAGGGAGGAACAAATACCCGGGAATTGGTGGGTACGCATCCAGTCTAAGCGTTCAGCCTCAATTAACGCAAATGCATTCACCATATATTGTTGAAACAATTTACCAGATAATAACAGAGAATTCGACTCCTGGAGACGGGTTTGAAGACGATATGCATAGAAATCACACTGGGTTATCATTTTATCTCCAACACTGATATTACAGCTACTGTGACTATAGCTAATGCATGGATGCCACCCATCCTCGCCATATGGGAATAAAATTGGATATTGTAATGCCATCAGACTTGGATGGTATACGCTAATCCTTTCCATTTCTGAACCCTTCTGTTGAACAATAATATATGGAGAAAATGATTGCTCTCCTGTTTCATCTACAATCAATGTTGCAATCTCATTCGCAGAGGGCAAATCATATTCTCTACTATTAATTTCACGCTTAGCCAATAGTTTCAGTTGAAGCTCCTAAACACCAGAGTTTTGTATCCTATCTCGCGCAGAACGAAATGTACGTACCAGGATATTATTGTCATCAAACATATGCTGGAGGCCTTCAACAATACACTGGCGCAACGGATTCTTGGCAGGATCAGTGGAGTAAAAGTCCATACGATTCTGCACCTCGTTATCTGAATCGTGAATGTAAAGCTGTGCAAATTTCGGACTATCCCCATCACCAGGAACCAAACATCCTATTCGATGATA